TCTCAGGGCACATCGTCGGCTCGCAGCAACCATCCGAAGCCAGGCCGTGGTTGCTAGACTACCGTAGACAAAAGATCTACATATCCATTTTTGGCGGAAGCTGGGTCGCTCGAAACAACCCCCCCAAGGGCCATCTCCGGCGCGGCAGTGCCAAGTTATAAAGTGCATTTGAAGAGACCAGAGGAGATGTAATGGCTATCATCGATGGATATCTCAGTAGCAAGACGTGTCCGTTCTGCTTAGAGATACTTGCCACGAAGGTTTACAGACACCTGGTCAAGTTACACAAGTCGAATGGCACAATATGCTGTCTGAATTCAAGAGCATGTCTCGCACCCTTGGATGTGCATTGATGAAAATAGACTCCGTTGGCTCTGCGAACATTATGATCATTGCTACAGGTCTTCTTATTGCTAAAAGTGAACTTGTCTTGCCTATCTATCATCGAGGCTGCACCGAACCGACAAATGACTATCTTGTCAACAACTACAGAACAGCAGTGAAGTCACCGCAAGCTAGCTATGATGCCATTTTTCTCACTTTTCAAGTTGCTACATAAATAACATATCCTTGTATGAAAATTCATTCGCGCACCGAATAGCCTGGGTAAGTAAGCTTACATGTATTGAGGAGCGGGTATATTCTATAAATGGTAGTTTGTGGCTTTTTTTTTCGCTGACTTCCAGTCACTAGGGCTTAGGAAATTGAAAAATTGTGCTCCCCTCTCGGCTGTCCAATTTTCCTTCAACAAGCTTTGGTGGAATCCTTCCCTTTTTTTTTCAAAAAACTTCAGCCATGTTGGTCCTCTATGAAACTGCCGCCGGTTATGCTCTATTCAAGCTTGTCGACGACAAGAAGATTGAACACCCTGAAAACATCTGGAAAGACTTTGAAACTCCCGATCAGGCCAACAATACGTACGTAAATTGCTGAACAAGAAAGGAAACGATCGCTTCTTTTGACATTCCAACTGACATTCTTCTTTCTGACTTTGCTGTCTACTATAGTCTTAAGCTGAAGGCTTTCTCCAAATTTGAAAACACCACCGATGCTTTGTCTGCCGTCACCGGTATTGTCGAGGGCAAAATCCCCAAGAACTTGAAGAAGTTCTTGTCCAGCGAGATTTCCGAAAAGGAAATGAAGAAAGAGAAGCTTATTGTCAGCGACGCCAAGCTTGGTAATATAGCAGCGTGGACGTTTCACTGGTGGATGATAGGGTATTAATAGTGTTTTGGACGGAACTCTCTTGTAGGCAGCGCATTGAACAAAAAGCTGGGCATCAGCGTCTTGTCCGACTCGACAGTTCTGGACCTTTACCGTGGTATTCGCGAACAATTCGAATCGCTCGTTTCCGGTCTTTCGCACTCTGATTTGAACGCCATGTCGCTCGGTCTTTCTCACTCGCTTTCGCGTTATAAACTCAAGTTCAGCCCTGACAAGGTCGACACCATGATTGTCCAGGCTATCGGCCTTTTGGATGATCTTGACAAGGAATTGAACACATATGCCATGCGCGTTAAGGAATGGTACGGCTGGCACTTCCCTGAAATGGGCAAGATCATCGTCGACAACCTTGCCTATGCCAAGGTTGTCAAGACCGTTGGCTTCCGCACCAACGCCCAATCTACTGATTTGTCTGCCATTTTGCCTGAAGAATTGGAGGGTGAAGTTAAGGACGCCGCAGAAATTTCCATGGGTACCGAGATTTCGGATGAGGATCTCGAAAACATCCACAGCTTGTGTGACCAGGTCATCAACATTTCCGAATACAGAGCTCAGTTGTACGAATATCTCAAGAACCGTATGAATGGTAAATACCAGCATTCTTCTCACTGCGCATTACTAGATAAAAAAAAAGAATATTACTGATTGCAAATATTTGATTAGCCATTGCACCCAACTTAACCTCGCTTGTCGGTGAACTCGTCGGTGCCCGTCTTATTGCACACGCAGGTTCTCTCATGAACCTTGCCAAGCAGCCCGCTTCCACCATCCAGATTTTGGGTGCCGAAAAGGCACTCTTCCGCGCTCTCAAGACCAAGCACAACACACCCAAGTACGGTTTGATCTACCACGCATCACTTGTCGGTCAGGCCGGTCCCAAATCGAAGGCCAAGGTTGCAAGAATGCTGGCCACCAAGACTGCCATTGCTCTGAGAGTGGATGCCTTGGGCGAGACGGAAACCGCAGATGTTGGTATTGAAGGTCGCACAAAGGTCGAAGCACGAATCCGCATGTTGGAGAGCGGCAACAACGCACGAGCCAACCGTGATCGATCATCCACGAAGCAACAAAAGTTCAAGTTCAACAAACCCGCACAATACAACACGCAATCCGACGCAGTCATGACCGAAGCATCGGCCGAATCCACGCCCGCACGAGAAGAACCCGCATCCCCCGAAGCACCCTCGTCTAAGCGAAAATTAGAAGACAGCGAAGAACCCGAATCCGAGCCCAAGAAGGCAAAGAAGGAGAAGAAGGACAAAAAGGACAAGAAGGAGAAGAAGGAGAAGAAGGAAAAGAAGAAGAAGAGCAAGGAGGATTAAATTCTTTGCATGACCTCTCATCATTTTATCTATGTAGCTGCTCCAATCCCTATCAAGTGTTTTTTTTCGCATTTTATTATCGACTTTTTTTTCGTTTTTTATAATCTTCCTTTTGCATTCCATTTCACCCCCATTGTATACAAACTAAAATCTGTTTTTCCGATGTAATCATCGATTGTCTGGCTGTTACTAGTGATGATTGTAGTGAGTGTTCACCCGTGTGGTATTTTGATACTTCAGCATATCCTAAAGTGTCCCATGCCGTCAATTCCTTGGTTGTGGCATCATTAGTGCTGTATATTATCTAGTTATATAAAACGACAAGCTGTTTGAGAAATCGCAACCTGTATGACGACTTACTGTAGCTACGTGGTATTGCATTTTCTCATCTGTCATGACTTGTACTATGATATCAGGAAGCTTGTTAGGATCGTCACTCTGTCTTCTGGTTATGCACAGATGTGACATGTATGATACTTTTAAGGTGGTATGCTTATCATATCAAGGATCAACAAAACGACCATATCAGAATCATGCACGAGATTCTTCTGAAAGAAATGACAGTGTTTAGTTTGAAAAACTATGACTTGGGCCAGATAATTGATGCACAAGACAACCCAGTATGGAATGCCTTATACATGACGTACGAAACAACAGGCTTAACATAACGTTTATTATGTGTATCCTGACGTAAGACCAGACACGGTGATACTTCGAAAATTTGAGATCTCTTCTCCTCCTTCAAAGTCACCAATTGTTACTAGATCACCTGAATTCACAAATCCTTACACTACTGCTTAGCGTTTTTCCACAATAATGAAAAAAGTTATTTCAGGTTGCAACCTTTATTTGCTATGTTTTACGCAAATCCACTTCTTTAACCAGTTCGACAATGGTTAACCACATCAACAAAAGCATTTAACTAGGATTAACAAAAAAACTTCTATCATAGCTATACCTGGGGTTAACCCAATTTCACTCATGTGTACTATCCAGCTTTGACATAAAATAACAATCTTCACCAGTATTGACGGGTATTGACCAAAAATTTTCCCGTGGTGTTAGAAACCACATTGGTATTACATAATGCTATACAGTACGCAGACTGCGTGTGAACAATGATAACGTTACCTTGCTGCAGTTTCATAATGATGCACCCGAGAGGTTTCCTACTAAATGTTTAGACGCGCGAACATTTTCTGCGCCATCTAACAACAGCAACATTAATACAAGTTGGGTTGAAAGAAAAAAGTATTGTGTACATGTGTCGTTTAGCCATTTTAACGTCCAGTTTGACCAGTACGGCCGGAACGAAAGAAGAAGAGAAAAGACTAAACTGCTGGCATTTATTACTATAAAAAGTTACATAGAAAAGCGTGCGTGTGGTGTGGCAGCGAAAAATTAGTTATATACGTGCCTGGGTTCAAAATGTGCATTATCACCAATTTCGTGCCCTAGGTTTATTTACTGAGAACTCTGTGGTAGAGTTAAAAATCCGTCCTGCTACATTACATATAATATTACAGCTACGTCTATAGTGTTAGCAGCAGCAGCAGCAGCAACGGATGGTATCACGGTATCATATGCTACTATCCACACATTTATATGACCAAACGATTCCCCAAACATCATCATCCACTGTTGGGAAAACTCCATTGAAATCCAGGAATTATGATTATTTCTGTTAAGCGACGATCCCTATTGGAGGGACAGATAGTTATTTCGGCGCTCATTATCAGCTATCGCCCACGGTATGCAATGCCGTTGAAAGCGATCCATAGACTAAGTCCTTCTTGACCTATTGGTAAAGGTGACATGAGCTTCGTGAACATTTCCGTACACTGACCGGATCAGTGGCTCAAACCAAAAACGTAGCCTTCAAACGTTCATTATACGGGAAATCCTACATGTTTTAAAGCAAACGCATGTAGTCCAAGAGCAAACACACATTACTATCCCTACCAACTTTAATTGATATGCCATCTTGCCACCAATCAATGCACCAGTCGTGAATAGGATTACTGCTGTAAGAAGTCTTGTAGTGAAGAAGCTACTCGTTCCCAACACACTTTTCTGTGGCATCTAGAGACAAGGCATAGTAAAAATAAGCGGATCGTAATTTATACCAAGAGGGACTATATATTAAGCTAAGTGGGACGTAATGCACAGTAAACGGTGCTCTTAACGTACAGAAAAAGCAACCGCAAAAGAGCAGGACTTTTCTCTCGGGGTTTATTATGACATCATTGATTCGGCAACGGCAAGAAGTGTGCAAAGAGCCGGTCAGAGACACAAGCCCACATGATGTGAATTTTGCTGTGAAAACAGGCAACAGTAGGGGTAAATTCGCTGCGTCTCTCTTTTTTTTTTATTATCACATAACGAAGGCTCCGATCACGTACGCAAATAATCAAGGAAGCAAAGGTAGTCTAGGAATGAGGAATTCAGGAAGAGCGCAACACAGATCTTTCTTTTTTGGATAGTGACAAAGTTACGCGTGTGTCAAACCTTGAACGTTCCAACAGCTTTTCCCTGAAACGAAAACTATGCGCATTACGACACAGCGATTTGGCCAATTGACTTCGCACTCAAATGCACAAAGGGATGGCGAGTGAAAAAGGTGATCAATGGAGCAACGAATTACGCGCAAAAGTGTCAAAAGCCAGAGGAAGTCATCGTTTGTAGTGTTATTCTTCTGATCGTCCCAGTGGATCTTGAACGCTGCTTTGAGAGAACGTAGAACCGCACAAAAACAAACGAACAGATTTACTATGTCAGCAGCAATGTAAAACACTGAAGGATGAGTCGATTTCACTAGCGGCAGCGGATACTTATTTATGAGCGGGCCAACTTATCTGCAGCAGCACATACTTGGGATGGAGGATAGAACGTTAGCAGTAGCATAAACTGGGATGGAGGATGGAGGGAGGAGGTTATACGGCGTGGTTCAGAGAACTGTTGGCGGATAGCGTAGATGGTAAAGCAACAGTTGACGAGCACGGTTGAACATAGAAGATACGGGTCTTTATCATATAGTGCAGCGTTGGGGGCATCTTTTTCCGCACACACATAACATTACGTACCACACACACAGTCAAAAGACAATATTAAAGTACTGTGGATTTGTCTGTGAACTACGCTATATACACACGCTGTTTGTCTTGTTGGGTGAAGGACTGTAAACTGGCTGCTTGGTGGATGGTGTTTTGAATGTTCACTGATGGTGAATTGTCTACCTTGTCAGTCACGTCTAATTCCGGCATTTACTGCTCACGGAAAAGCACTTCTTCCGTGAATCGACTTGCTCATTCGCATTCGTGTCTTTGTTTTCGCTTGACACGGTGCCGTGCACGGACCTCTCACAACCAAACGGCGACATCGTCGGAGGTACAGCTGCCCATGGTGAGAGACACGTACCACTACCGCCGCAACACATTTGTTTAGATGACCACCAAGCACACCCCCTTTCCTTTCCTTTTGTGATAGTCCCTTTGAGCCATATGCTAAAAGTTATACTATTACGCAAGAGCCAATGAAAATCCATGGAACTTGGTGGAACTTTTTGAAGTCCCGAGCGTGACAGTCAAAAAACGTCTATATAAAGCGAGCAGTTTCGCCTTTCTTTTTTCTCTTCTCTTCAGTTCGTTTTGGTACAGCTTTGATCTGTAGTACAGATTCACTGTTTGGTGCCATGATCGGGTCATTGCTTGTGCTGGCGATTGTCAAGAGGATTCTGAGGATTGGCCGGATTCAGTGGTCCGGTCATAGGAAATCTTTTGCAATGTACTAGTGGGAATGTGGACACGTACCTTCGGGTATGTGGTGGGATAATTAAAACGAACTTTTTATTTTTTATTAAACACAAATAAACAAAATGATAAACAAAATAAAACAATTTTTTTCTTTTCGCACTCTTCTCATAAAAGTTTTGCCGCTTTTTATTTATTTTTTGCTTTGCCTTTTTTTCATGTGCTTGACAAGTTCCTTAGTTTTTTGCCCACCCACAGCTCCGTGCTAAACAAAGCGGGAAACAGTCTGTATCGTAGCCGACAGTAACACGATCACAACGCGCTTTATCACACTTTGGAATGCACTTTGCACCTTTCCTTTTTTTACATTTCTGTGGTCGCGTAGTTCTGCCCGTGAAAATAATGGAAAGGAAAAGAGCTGGTTCGGAGGATACAATCTGGTTTGCTTTTTTCACATGTATCATACTTCACGCGCACCCTGGAAAAAGCAGACAGATAGGATATAGGGTCGACGCTCTTTTTCTTGAAAAGAATCCCTTTCTCTGCGTCCACCACGCTTGCCAGCTTAGGATTATCGTTTGTTAAGCTAACCACCGAGCGAGCTCAATGCGAGACTAAAAACGACAAGTAGTCTAAAACTACACCTCCATAAAGCGTATTCAGCGTAGTGTTTTCGCCTGGACGAGTGACGTCCCCCAACTTTGGTTCCATCCCCCCATCCAACCCCCCGCCCCCAATTTTTTTCACGGCCAGCACGGAAGGTCTGCGCATGAAGAAGCCGAGCATGACAGCAAAGTACAATGGAGACCCTGCGCAAAAAAAACATCGTAACTTGACCACAGAGCCTCGAAAAAACAAGGGTTTAGTATGTGCGTGTTGCTACGAGTCTGCACATTGCGCTGGGTGCAATTGTGTGAAAAAAGCGCTGCGAATCTCTTCGCAAGAACAGCTGCCATTTCGTTCGGAATGGGTCAAAATGGGTGACGCGAATAAAATAAAATGTGTTCTGACATGCTTGTCCTGGCAACAAGCCGCTTTCGGGAACATGGGTAGTCATGACTACTGAATGCCATGGCAATAAGCAGCTTTCTTATGCAGCGTGGTTAAGCAAGCCTCATAAAGAAGGATGATCACTGTGAGCGGTGAAGAAATCATGGGTGGAGTGAACCGGAAAAGGAAAATTTCGTTGAGATGCTTTGGGCAGATCAGAGCAACTACGAAAAGGAAGCAGGATACAGAAAGCGCGTTGTTCTTCTTCTCTTCTTTTCTTACGATGAATCATCATACGATAAACACCAAAGAGTATAGGCTATAATAACTTCGACAATCATATTCACTGCTCCTTATGAGAGCAATTTGATGCACCCTTGGTAGCATTAACAAAATCCAAGCTATTTTACATTGACACGTACGCTCACTGACCTGAACACGTCTATTCTGTCTGCTATGATAGACTTTTGTGGGGATAAACTAATAGACGGATCGCAGACATGCCGGATATCGAACATTTCCAAGATGAAGAAGATGAAGAAGATGAAAAAGGTGGATTTTGGATGCCATGATGATGGATGTTATCTTCCGAGTGAAAGGAGTTATTTTCGCCTTAAACAGTGTGTTTCTTGAAGCAGTGCCACCTTCGTGTGTTGAAATTGATTTTTGACAGGTGATAATTTGGTAAACCTAGGTATTTGGATCGAAAGGAAGTGTCGACTAGTTACGAGAATAGAAGATTGTGAATACAACGGCTGGTTCTGATTATTCTCATTGTGATCGATGTTTGAGGGATTATTGATATTGATATGGTAGTGATTATGTATTGTCTATAGCAGCTCACTAGTGTGCGTCTTTTCTCTAATCGCATCATAGTAATTAATAAGACGGTGAGAAGTGGGATGAGTTTTCCGTACCGATTTTAAAAAGTCGTGTTGTTTACTACACACAGCTATCGTTTCTGTGTTATGTATATTTACTAAGAGAAGCCTTGTTACATGCTGCATCATGATAGTGCTATAATGCATATCTATATCTTTTTCATGCCTTTCTACGGACGATAGTATGCATGCATGGTTAATGTCTTGCTGCTGGTTGATGAGTTGCGCTTTTAGCGAGAGACTACTACTGTACCGTGCTACGAGTCATCACTAGATAAATGGAAACGGATAGAATCCTACATTTTAGAAACCACACTGGTATTACATAATGCTATACAGTACGCAGACTGCGTGTGAACAATGATAACGTTACCTTGCTGCAGTTTCATAATGATGCACCCGAGAGGTTTCCTACTAAATGTTTAGACGCGCGAACATTTTCTGCGCCATCTAACAACAGCAACATTAATACAAGTTGGGTTGAAAGAAAAAAGTATTGTGTACATGTGTCGTTTAGCCATTTTAACGTCCAGTTTGACAGAAACAACAGCCTGCACAACTTTGACAACAATGTCAGTACCGTATGGATCGGGTGCTAGTGAACTCACTGTAATGGTGCGTGTTGTACGCCGGAACGAAAGAAGAGAAAAGACTAAACTGCTGGCATTTATTACTATAAAAAGTTACATAGAAAAGCGTGCATGTGGTGTGGCAGCGAAAAATTAGGTATATACGTGCCTGGATTCAAAATGTGCATTATCACCAATTTCGTGCCCTAGGTTTATTTACTGAACTCTGTGCTACATTACATTTAATATTACAACTACGCCTATAGTGTTAGCAGCAGCAGCAGCAACGGATGGCATCACGGTAACAAAAACGATACCTCGCTGATTAAGCAATGTATGGTTTAGATGAAGCTCTTGTCGTTTGCCTTGTGCATCGTCAACTGCACAATGGCCCAAACTATACTTTAAGGTATCGTAAAAGGTCCTCAGCTTATGACAAAGCTCTTTGTCGGTTCAATATGTCCCCATTGGCATCGTATTGCATAACAAGAGCTGCAACTTACGATACATGTAGCAGCCCGTCTTTGGCAACAGTGCCAAGAATGACCATTTGGAAGAAAAGCTTTGCGTATGATACACACTCTCTTTCACTTTTAACGCCTCACCCCTCACCCCCTTGCTTGGCTCATCTGGTGTCATCCAGCACCTCTGAAAGTTATGATGTCAAAAGAACTTGTTGCAAAATATAATACATGCAAGCACGGGCCTGTATGATACAGGTAAATATGCACCGTGTTCTTAATATAGTTCACATCTGTACACAGGATAAAACGGTTCGAAAAAGAAGCCAAAGACTTTTTATCCGTATTACATGATATAGGCTTATTTGAGAGCTAGTAGTATACACAGAATAATAGCAGAGAGGAGGAGGCAAAGTGATTCTTGGAGACTGATCGTACTCATCTTTACATGGATTTTTTTAAAAGCTCAAATTTGATACTCTTATATTAACTTAAAACCTTAGCTCTTCATTGAGGCTGCTATTCAAGGTAGTTGTACAGGTAAACCTAGACGTTATTTGTCGTCTTATATCTTGTCTTTATGGTAACACGTGTTTGGAAAGTGCTGGACGTGTATTGATATGTTTGATGTTGTCGCGGCAACCTCAGCAGCCGTCGCTTTCACAAATTTTGTAACGCTTGTACTGTGATGGCCTTTTGATGAAGCTACTTCAAGAAATGCCACTTTGAGTTACAAAAGATTCACCCGTTGCGATCTTTTTGTAATGTTGGGGGTGTCTCTCAAGCGACAATTGCTGTTGAGTGTACCCATTACTTAAACGATGTCGTGGGGTGAAGCCTTTCGGCAAAAATCAAGCCACCGTGTTCTCGTTTCGCTGTGACGTTCGAAAGCATGGGGATCGGCTGAATGTTACACCGGGTCTGCATGAAAAACACGCACATTGCCCAGTGTAAAATTATAAACGCCTGTTTCAAATTTGGTTTTTCCTCATCCTTTCTCTCTCTCTCTCTCTCTCTCTTTTGCACTTTACCTTCCCATGATGAATAGCGAAAAGCCTTCTGGAAACTTACCTGAATACAATCTCTCGTGGCAACAACAGCAAGAAGCTCAGCGACGAGGTAGTATGGCTTCTGAACTTTACGATGTGTTTTTGTCGTTTTCACCCAAGGCTGACCTATGCTTCCGTGTGACCATTTATTGTTAATAACCGTAAGGTCGCTGGCGTTGGTGGCATGTCCTGCTACTCAGTGGTGTCATTGGTTTGTTTACCTACACTCAAATGGATAATATTGCATGGCTCAAAAGGGTATGATCCTCCTTCTCGTTATTTGTAAGAATACGATGGCAGAAACTAAAGAACGTCACCCTTGTTTCGCGAATATGGACGTCATAGACTTTGAGTGGTCACTCTGAACAGGGTGTTTTGGATATGGGTTTCCCGTCACAAGCGGAAGACATCCAAGGCACTAATGAGCTTGCCGCGTTCATGCAAGACCTGCAAGCCATGTTTGGCGAAAGCGGATGTTCGCACCACCATAAAGACCAAGTTATGGAGTGCGGTGCAGAACAGACTGGCGCACACTGTGGAAAACTTTCGATCGCTTTCCCTCCTGGTAAGAACACAGATACTGGCTCACATGGCCGTTGCATCACTATTTTTTTTATCATCGACTACAGTGCAAGTGCGTATGTGTTATTTTCATGCCATGCCAATTAACAAACAAAACAAAAATACAACTCTACAGAGTATGCAAAGCACCCGCGTCCCCCGCGTCGCCATGAAACATTTTGCAAGCCCAAAGAGCTGTTGCCTTCGTCTTCAGTGTTTACCTTTTCACCTGACGAGTTCCAGCGCGCTGCCGTGTTTTTGGATGGCCAATTTTCGCATGGAGGCGTAGTTACTGTGGATCGAGCTGCTGACGACGATGATACACAAGACGTCAAGGTCAACGTGACTACCTATGTCGGCCGCAAAGAGCTCCAAGATCAAATATCAATCTCTGGCTTTGACCATGAAGGCCAATACAGTGTCCAAGTCAAACGCAAGGGTGGCCATCATTGTCGGCACCGCAAACCACCAGTCAAAGAGGATTGTGTAACCTACTCCATCCACGTGGTCTTCCCATCCCATCTCGAATCGTATGAGGATTTGGACTTACACATCAGGAAAGCACTGCGCATTCACACGTCAACTGACCTGACCAAGTTGACGTTCGGTAAATTCAGAGCTGGCGTGGGCCATGGTGCCATCAACTTCTCGGTAATTTGAAGTCCTCTTTTGTCAGATTTCTTCTCTGAGTTTCTGCATTTAATCATTGTCTCTTCTGCTGTGTGTAGGATTTGAAAGCGGAAAAGATCATGCTTGGCTCACTTTATGGCGTTGTAATGGGCGATTATAGCCCCACTCAAACATTTGCAGGAGCTGCTGTGCATGGTGCAAGCAAAGTCAAAATTCATCCAGCCTCTGAGCATGTTAACGTGACATCCGCCGCTGTTGTTGGACCAGCCAGTGCAGAGTTGTCAGCCAACGAATTTTCCGGCAACTTCATCGTCTCAAGTTGGACTGGTTCGCCCATCGTCAAAGCGCCTAATCCAGATGACATTCATGTTGTGAAGAATCGATATACATATAAAGCTGGATACTACAAGGAGAAGGAGACAGGCTCGAATGTGATCGTCAGCTCCAAGCATGGCGATAGCGAACTGATCTTCAAGGGTGATGACGGCGATGGGGAGACTAGCTATGAATACATGTACTGATACGTCTTTAAGAAATATGTATCCGTACCTCAGTCTCTTTCTTCTTTCATGATACTGTATGCTTGTAAAAATAAATGCTTTTATGGTTATCAACCTATTTGCTGTTACAGTGATATATTGAATCTTTGAACACTAACTCTATGTTATGTGTCATGCTTTGCTAGTTTTTATATATAGCCATGATATCAAGCAAGTCGTTTGAATTTGTATAAGACCTCTCTTCTTATGTTCTTTCCCTCTTGATCGCCGTAACGCAAGGAAGCGGCAGGAATGCTACAAGCGCACCGTCATTACATAGCCTTCCGATAAACATTTAATAAGTATCCAAGAGTAGTAGCATCGTAATAGACCCCTTCTATTCGCATTAAACAATAGACGTATAGTGCTATAGACATAAGCTGCCTCGTTCTGTGTAAAAGCGATCATGTTTATTCTAATCATTTCAGCATAATTTCTGATGAGATTGCTTATGAAGTATTACAATGGGTCTACTGTTTATATGGAATATGTGCTAAGAAAACGATTTAATACAGATCGGTTCGGCGATCTGATGGTCAGCTCGACGCTTGAGTCCGTCACGTTTCCATGTAGCAACACTTGTTCTCCTTCTTGTGCAGCAATAAGCTCCTGGCCAATCACTTGCACAATATAAAAGTTCCACTGTGTCGATATCAGATCCGTTATCGTTTGCATAGGATAATGCTCCACACTTGTCTTGTGCTCGGCTGCGTACTTCAGCCACAGCTCCCCGAAAGATTCGGTTTCCAATGGTTGCTCCTCCGTTGATTGCTCGAGTTCCAATGCCATTAGACTTGCAACCATTGACTCCTATGGTTATTGTGATGTTAATATACCGCTATACTGGATGTTTGAGCGTACATTGGCATAGCAGCTAGAGCGTACCTCATCGGCTTTCTGACGTGGAGAGAGCACAGACTTTCCCTTATCGAACCGTTGTTGTGATCGCTTTTGCTGCAGTGATGCTGGCGAGTAGGATCGAACATCGGTAATAGTATCAAGAGTCTGAGGGTCTGTCGCTGCATTACAATCAGATCAAACACTTATTGACAGTACTTATTATTATTTTTTTAAAATAATTCTGACCTTTTCCTTCGTCGAGATACCGGCTTGGCTTCTGAGGTCGGTTAGGATTGACAACAAGCTATGATGATGATTCGTAATTACGAACGATTGTAATATGCGAATGTTTTAGTTATCGTTCGGTTACCTTTGTTGGGATCGCGAGAGATGTAACGTTGGTATCCTGAAGCATCTTCTCAAACTGAGAGTCTACAATCATATCTAACATTTCGCAAGCGATCTATACATGGGAAAACTGTATTCAGTAACACGATCCAATGCTAACAAGCACAGCCATATCCACGGTTTGATTTCTACCGTCTGTTTTTCCTGCATCGGCGATCGTCTGAACGCATTTAATATATTTTTCAGGTCGGCGTGCCACGTTCTGGATCGAGACATACAGTGCTTTATTGCTTGTAAAGCTTGGATCTGTTGTAAGTCATCTGTAGGATGATGGCAGTTCCGATTAGCAAGAAGCGCATCAGGTCGGCAATTGAAGCTAGGACAACTTGAAACTATAATTCATTGGTACCCTTTAAAATAACGGCCCATTTTTGCAACTGCCACATTACATCAGCTTCGGTGCACGTTGAACAAAGATACGTGTACTCGCTCAATGTCTGAATATAGTGGAAGTAAAAATTAGTTTCTCTTTGTCAACTATGGCACCATGATCACATTCTACTGTTACCGAAAATGCCAGATCAAGTAAGGCAGGAGATATCTGATCCTGATTATTGCTTTTCAACATCTTGTAAAAAGACGACACTGCCGCGTCACGAAAATTTGTTGATTCAATCTCATCTTCGAGCTCTGCCAGTGATAGCACATAAGTAATCTTTTAATGCATCTTCAAATGACAAGCAACAGACAGCAGTGTAACTGAAAAGGAAGTACTTACCACTTTTCATTCGATCGCATATCGCTGAAACATATTCTTCATCTATGGTCTTCTTTACCGGGGACAGTATTGCTATAGCGGTTTCAATATACCACACATCTACACCCTCTGTATACTAATAGTCAAGGTTGATTACGCTTTTGAAATCAATTGTACATTATACATTAGAAAGAAAAGAAAAAGGATATAGATCGAGCTTATCAAGAAACCAACGAGAGATGTGGGCTTGAATGGCCGAGGTTGTACTACAGTTCTCCACTGCTTTTTGTATTTTGGGATATATCACGCGCAGCATGGAAGTATCGCCTATGATGCTGTCTAAAAGATCCACAGCCTAGTTACGTGCAGTGTTAATTAGTTCACACGTATCCATAACTTGTTATATGTACGACATCTTAAGAAAGATTTTAACCTTGAAGACCAGAGTATTGTCACTGCCAGCAATTTCAACTGCGTCTGCCAATAGTGTCCCATCCCGCCATTCCTCGCACCACAAGTTTCGATCTGTTTCTTCTATTCCAAGCAATCCCAGGTATTTCAAATTGTGATTCGTTGATCTGAGAAACCCATCCAGAATTTGGAAAGGGTTTCGATCTTCTGCAGATATCATACTTTCGAGAAACAAAGTATCCATACTATTCAGCAGCCGTATACATTCGAGAATAATGGCTTGATAAAACGAAAGTTAGCTATATATATAGGCATAATACAGTACGTTTTACAATAAATTATTTACCATACGCTGCATCTACTTTGCGTTCTACGAGTGAGAGGCATTCGGTTGTAAGCTGATATAGTTCTTGCTGAGATCTATGGCAAAAATGAATTCAATTTTCTATACTTTCAAAATAGCATACTCAGTTACCATTCTTGTGCAGCCTGCAGATATTTACCCAACACCATGCTTAATATAGGCCCCTAGTATTTGTAAGCAAGCAACTTGCGCCCATGGTGCCGTCACTCCATGGTAATGGAATGATCGATGTACGTGATTTTTCATGATCTGGTTCATAATTTGTATGAACACTGGCAGCATGTCCTCATAACGCTCTGCTTCTTCTTGACCCTATCAAAATTAAATGAGAAAAGAGGAGATGACTTGAGTCAATAACATAGTGTCGAACTCTCAGATAAATGTTCCAAAATGTCTATATTCTCACTTACTCTGCACATAATTTCCTTCCATATAGATAAACCAGCAAAGACGACACTTTGATCCTTATCCACAAGTGCCCCACGGAAGAACGGTTCCACTCTGTCTAGCAGATCAGGGGATCGTTGATACATGCAAAACAGTGTCATCACTGCTTTTCGTCGGACAATTTGTCTATATATGCATCGTTCAGTAACATTGACAACTTTTGTGGACGGAAAGCCCCAAACAGCAAGCATCCACTTACTTTGGAAAATCCATCGATGCAATGACAGAATCAAGCACGGTGCTTGTCATTTCGTCATGGTGCAAATAGCAAATTGCATTTAATGCAACACAACGATCCAAAAAATTGGAGCTTTTCAAATCCTGAAAAATGTGTTAAGTAGCGATACATGATACAGAGCCTATGGAGCATACAGGACGTACTCTTTGTAATGTGTTGATCAACATGATTCCGAGATCGTCGTTGTCTCCTAAAAACAATGTGCATGCCAGGTAGCCTTAAATTATACAACCGTAGTGAGTAACATATCCTCCTCCTTTTCTTCCCTAATTACCCTTCATCAGCCAATTACCTACTCTACGCTCGGCAGCAGTTTCGCCACTTTGTGAAGCCATAATTGCATAAATTATACCAAAATCGACATTGTGACCGAGCATAAAACAGTGGATCAACCGTATCAAATAGTCCTTCATACGTGCCTGGAAAATAAAAGGTTTAGCACACTGAATAGTGTAAGTATGTATAGGCGATAGTAATTACCGAAGAAACATCAGGCAGCCCCATTTTGGCTGAGAGACTACCAAGTTCATCCGTGACATGCGAATGTTCTTCCTGCCAAAACAATTTGCACAATAAAATCACAATGCATTTAAAACCGACCACTCAACAATTTGCCGACCATTGTTCACGCCTCTTTACATCCAATTCTTACTGCTTTGCTCTTGGCCTCGGTTATTCTTTTTAAAAAGGCGTAAAACTCTGGACCCAATCCCGATGCCAGAAATTCGGAAGTGAACAGCGATTGTACGCGCGCCATGGAGGAAAAGAATGAAGAAGCATATGTAGAATCATGCGCCGCCAGAAAGATCACTATCGGTCATGCGCGCTTGCGCGTGCCATTTGCCTGTGTAACATCCCAACTGCTACGAACGCACAACAAATGTAAAATGGAAATTGCACTTTGATACAAATGTCGGTGTGGGACTATGTGTAATCATCCTCACTGACTGCTACCGACTGATCTCTGCTATATAATTCTAATTTCGCTTTTTGCTCCATATATCCAAACAGCAATTGATTACATAATGCATACTGGAATTAGATTTGTTATTTCATATACAGCAACAGTAGAAAAAAGTAAAAGACTGTGCAGCATGTGTTGATGTCTCTAAGCGACGTTCCCAAGAATACCACGACCATCAAATAACCCTGTTTGCCCGTCACCGTCTCCCAATGACCATGCTTTACCCGCTTTAAAATCTTTCCCGCTGAACCGTTAAAAACAGTCGTTATCCGTTCTTACGTTTCAGTTATTGCTGGATAATATACGATATTGTAAACTTCCAACTAAACCAATTGCAACGGATTAAAGCTAAACCCCTGCAAAAGTACCGCTGCCAGTTTCACCAGATAGCTTCGGTTCCCATAATTGAGATTATACTCTTGGCAGATGGTCTCAAAAGTGAAATTTTCTTTACAGAACATATGAAATTTTTAGTTTAGAAAACTTCGATTTGGAGGTAACATCTCTGTTAGGAACAAAATGTGAGTTACTTAACTCAAAAATATGTCACTTAACGAATAAAATTTCGAACTGAAGAAACAGCTAGTCTTTGTCTCAGACTTGTAACTGATGATTGTGCCACTATGCGAACCAGAGGCTACGGTCGTTCGTTTCACACTTTTATTTTCAGGGCAGTAAACCATGATTCGTTCGTCCATCAAATTCAGGTACTCGAGTAAATGGTATAAAAGGGTAGTTCAGGGACGATTCTGCTTTTCCCCTCATCAATATCCCCACCGACTCTTATTATATCAAGTAACATAATGTTGAACATTATCAAGATTGCCTCCATCCTTGCTATCGCTGGCGTTAGCTTGGCTGCTCCCACCAACTCCACATCCTCTGCCGCTGCTTCTTCAAGCCCCACCGCATCTTCTTCTTCTTCCTCTGCATCCTCTACTGGTTCTGTCACTTCCTCATCCTCCAGTGCCTCTGCCTCAAGCACCAGCAGCGGTAACACTACTTCATCAGGTGGCGATGTTACCGTTACCGTCAAGAATAGCTGCAGCAACAACCTCAAAATTTACAAGCTTACCAACGGTGGCGGTGCTCAAGAATCCCAGGATGTCTCTGCCGGTTCATCCCATGATTTCCAAGTCGATTCCGACTGGGCTGGTCGTTTCTGGGGCTGTGAAGGCGGTGATTGCAGCTCCTATGGCTCTGCTGTCTCGCTTGCCGAGTTTTTGTTCAAGGGTTACGAAGGCAGCGATTTCTATGACATTTCCTTTGTCGATGGTTTCAACCTCCCCATGAGCATCGAGCCCGAAGGCAAGTCCGGCGATGGTTACGACTGTGGATCGCCTACTTGTTCAAGCCTCCCATCGTGTCCCGACAAATTGAAGGGCGACAACGGTGCCTGCAAGAGTGCTTGTGCTGCCTTTGGCACGGATGAATATTGCTGCACTGGTGAATACAACTCTCCCGACAAGTGCAAGGCTAGTGAATACGCCGACGGGTTCAAGTCTGGCTGCCCTGATGCCTACAGCTACGCCTATGATGATGCCAAGAGCACTTTTGGATGCAAGGCCAATAAGTACACTGTCACCTTCTGTCCTTAAATGGTTATTTGACGACAACATATCATCTATATCATTTTTATCGCCTTTATATATCATACATACCTTGCTGAAAAGCAACAAACATTCGTTACTATGTGCAATAAAAGACTATATGCAGCTGGTCTGTGTGTAGCTACCATTTTTTCCTAAAAATCAACAGCTTTTCGACTTTGGATGTGAAAATCTTCTGCTATAATTGCAAGATTCTTTTTTGTTCAATTTTACATAAAGTTATATATATCGTGTGAAAAGGGAAACAAAAAGCGACAATCATAAACGGGATGCTCTGCAATTTGGACAAGTCAGTTTCCAACCATTGATACACTTTGCGTGGAATTGATGGCCACATGCTAACGTTGTAACATTATCAAGGTTTTCCAAACAAATTGTGCACGGATCATCAGCGCTAGCATACAAGCCTCTTGACTCTATTCCCAATCGCTTCCACGAGACCTGGTTGTCTTGGTCATAGCGCTGGTATTCGTCCTCTTCTCTGACTTTCTTCCAATCTGATTTAAAATGCGTACCATCTTCTTTTAAGCCATGAATTCTATACTGACAGCGGACGAACCCAACAGTGACCGGGGTCACATCAGTTCTGTAGCAATTGGGGCATTGTGTGGGTGTGTTTCCAAGCTCGTATAGTCCAAACCCTTGCTGGGAGATGACTTGATAATTCCGGGTGCACTTGCATTTCACTTCGATATTGGTACCGTTGTCAACAAATCGGCCTGGAGGCGCGTTTGTTCCGAACTTTACTTTTGTAGGTCCCTCAGGGTCTGACACGTCTGCAAAGAGCGAAGGCGAGACTCCTCCTCCTCGAAGTCGGAGCACAAGGTGTAAAGTACTTTCGTTTTGTATATTGTAATCTGACAATCTCTTGTCACTCTCAAGCTGCTTTCCCGCAAAAATTATGCGCTGCTGGTCCGTTGGATTGCCTTCTTTCTCCTGGATTGCCAGTTTCAGCTCGTCGACGGTCTGCTCCGGAGCAATCTCAATTTCGAGAGTTTTTCCCGTGAGTGTCTTGACGTATACCATGATCGGCTCAAAGGGATCGACTGAAAAAGATGAGCTTTCGGTAAGCGTTCGTCGACTTATCAGTAATTGGATAACACCATTGTGAATGTTGCTGCAGTCCGAAAGCACAGAGTCGTTGTTCAACGCGGATCCATCAAAAAAGAGATACTGCTCTGAACCTGGCAGCAGCCAATCTTGGACCAAGTCCGACAGTTTTTGCTTGAATTGCTCCACCGTGTCACCTTTATGCATATCGACGCTGGTACTTTCACCATCTGCGGTAACCACATTGAGTGTTATTGTAGTTGATGCTCCGGCTGGCTCATCTTCGGCTTGTTGCTCCTTGTCAGTTGGCCATTGTCGTTGCCTCTGTAATCGTGCGGCAGTCAAAAATTTGGGCGGACTAACGGCAAATGTGCTACGTAAAGTTCTTACCTTTATTTTTCCTTTGCTTATTCCCAGAGTAGCACAAGCATCCTTAGTGTCTGGCAGAGCTACTTGTTGCTGTTCATTGTCTCTGTTGATAAAAGTAAGTTTGCGTTTGATCGGATACTGGTGTCGACTGCCTCTGTAGGTGATCACTTTGCCAAACAAACTGTAATCGTATATAGACTGTTTGTAGTTCTCGATCGGAATACCGTCAATGAAGAGACGGCAAGTGTGTCGTATTCCACCGACCGTGGTACCATCCAATATGTTACATACGCGGTCCATGAGGTATTGGATAGGTTCATCGTTTCGATAAGGGATCGTAAGCGCTAGTCCAGGGAAGCCCGCAATAAGCACGTCAATTTTGGGTACCATCTTGATGACAGAAGCGATGATATTATGTGTCTAAGCAATAGTGCCAGGGGAAGAAAGTGGCTGCAAAAGTGGGGAATAGAAGAAAGAAAGGCGCAGGTTGAAGAAGCGGATCGATGATTCTTTAAGAAGCTGGACTTGAAGTGACACAAGAGGCGAACAAGGAAATTCTCGACAAACTGTGCCACTCAATAGGTAAGTGCTTTCCTTGCTGCGCTTCCTCTGTTTTGATTTTCGATCCGTAATGGCTATTTTTGGGCTGTGATATAGTGCTGACTTGATAAAATAGTAGAGCCCAGTTGAAACACATGAAAAGGTTCACTGATGTATCTGGTGCTGCTCAGCAGATAATTTCAAGTAGCAACTTCTAGCAATACTGATAGTGCCTGGTCCTTATTATTCGATAACTATGATACACCCTTGAAGAGTGTGGTTTATGCTACCATTTACATATGTGATATGGTCTTAAACCTCCTAACTTAATGGCACTCGCAGAGGTAACAGTAGCCAACAGCATACCTCGGTTCAGTGTGCATTACTGTTTGAGTGAGCCAAGGCATCAGATAAACTCAGACGAAAGGAAGCCGAGGCATTTTTATCCAGCTTCTCTTTTCCTACAACTGACACGCGCAATAATGGTGGCAGCCTCCGAGCAACAAGCCCGCGAATTAATCGCTCAAGCACAAAAGAAACTAAAATCCTGGTCTTTCTTTGGCCCATCGAACAAATTCGAAGATGCTGCCGAGCTATATGAAAAGGCAGGCAACATGTACAAGCTGGCTCAGCAATGTAAGTCTTTTCTTCTATTGCATTACTTGAATGACTTTGTTCGTTTATGAAAGAAAGAGAAGCGTGTTGTTTCATTTACCCGGAAAAGCCAAAGAATGCTAAGCTTAGTACGTACACACATATATGCACTTCTTGGTGTATATAGGGTCGTTGGCAGGCGATGCGTTTATTGAGGCTGCTAAACTGTTTGAAAAGGCCAATGGCGCAAAGTTTGACGGTTCAAGAGCCTATGAAAATGCTGCCAAGTGTTACAAGCGACACGATCCCCGAGGTAGAGTAACAGTCAAGATTGGGTGGTTATATATATATATATGTTGACGGGATTGTTGTTGCGCGATGGAAACTCTTGTAGCTGCCGTAAAAGCACTTCATGAAGCTATTGCACTAGACCAAGAAGGCGGCAATTTCCGACAAGCAGCACGGCATTATCAAGAAGCAGCTGAGCTTTTGGAGACGGAATTGGATGATGCTAAGGGTGCTTATGATGCATACGAGCATGCTGCTGACTTATTCAGTGCCGATGAATCGCCTGCGTAAGTTTTTGCGTTCTTGTTAACTTGGGCATTTCCCATTTTCTCTTTTCGACTATGCAATCACGCAGTTAGTTATTCTTACCAAGATAGGATTGATATTGTAGGATGGCCAACAAATGTTTCCTCAAGGTGGCTCAGATTGCAGCTGATCTGGATATGTATGATGTCGCTATTGAAAAGTTCGAGCGCGTGGCTGCTGCCGCTGTAGATGATAATCTGTTGAAATGGTCTTTGAAAGAATACTTCTTGAAGGCTGGATTGTGCCATTTATGCACGGATGTAAGTTTTTTTATCTTTTTTCGTTGAAAAAGGAGGGCTACTAATCGAAAAATCCCTTTAGGACATGGTACGCGCACGACAGGCTTTGAACAGCTATTGTGGAATGGACATGTCATTTGAGACTACACGCGAATACCAGTTGCTCAAGGTGAGAGAAAGTGTTGTAAAGGGAAAAGGACGACGGATTTGAAGGTACAACAGTTGACTGACTTTATGCGAATGCAAACTTTTCTTCTGTTAGGGTGTTATGGATTCGATCGACAATGGCGATGTGGAACAGTTTACGCAAGCCGTGTACGAATATGACAAGCTGACAAAATTGGATAGCTGGAAGACGGCAATCTTGCTCAAAATTAAAAAGAGCATGGATCAGGATGACCTTCGATAAATCTTCTCCTTCTCCATGTAACTCCAGTTTCAATTTCTCTCACACGCATTTTACCCATATGATCCACCCTCCATAACGCCTTGATCCCTTCTAACTTTGTTATCTACATACAATTGTAAACTTCACACCAACGCAACACACACATATATCATTACTCCTTTAAAGCCATTGTATTAGTTAACAACAATTCAGTCAATTCAAAAAGAGAAAACAAACACCGGATATGAATCCACTAATATAAATAATGACTGTTATTACAATTATTGATAAGCTCTATGCTAAATAGTATCAATTACATGAAGTTAATGTTTACTGTTTGTATAGCTTAACGACCACGTCAGCTTTTCTACCATCGACCACGTCCAGGTTTTTTACCATAAACCTCCTCAAACTCTTTCTTGCGCATCTTCATTCTTCTGCGAATCGTCTTGTTATATTCTTCACGTCGTTTTGTAACTCGAACGCCACTCATTTCCGGATGGATGTCTTCTTCTGAAAAGTAACCAAATTGTCCCATTTGATCTCGAATTTCGTATCCGTTTATAAAGTCTCGTGCAGATATAACATCGCTCCCTTCAGCCTTGATATGTGTTACTGCAACAGCACCACCATCGGCACAGCTGATGTGCAGTGTGCTTGTCTTTTCATCATATACAAAAGTGCCCGGCTCTGCTTCATTTTCCATGTAATACAAAGGCGAATCGTCAGGGAGAAACATGTTGAGTAACTGCATGGTGATATGGCGTTGTTTGATCTTTTTTGATCGTTTGATCCGTGTGAAGGTGAATGTGGTACGAAGCGGGTACTATATAACAGTGGTGAAGAAAGAAAGTCAGTATATCATCTTTGTGGACTATACATATATATCTTAAAAGGAAAGATGAGGTTCTAGCTTACTTGATCACCGATGGCCCGATATAACTGTTCTATTTGCCAGGCTCTCATATCATCAAATACAATTTCTGACCATTCCTTCTTGATTTTCGGCGCTGACGATACTTGCGAAAGATCCTGTACTTTAGCATTTTTCTAAGACAAGAGATTCATAGTTAGGTTTGCTACTTTTGCATATTCTGTATGTAGAGAAACATTAGGCTCTATCATTCCCTTGGTATTGTTCCTTCCCAACTTACTTTACACTTGTCAAAATTATGCAAGGTATTTATGAGAAGACTGCGTCCCATATCACCAAGTTTTTCTTTTAGGAATCTATAATTTGGTGCATTAACTCGGCTAAGATCCTACGCACATGTTTACTTGGATGTCAGAGCATGATATTGAAGAACAACAAAGAGATCCGCCCCCCGGAGATTACCATAGTTTGTTGAGCGAGGATACGTCCAGCGTCAAACTTTTTATCGTCTAATTCCTGAACTGTTACTCCTGTTACATCATCGCCTGCTAGAATGGTGTGTTGGATAGGCGCTGCACCGCGATATTTAGGGAGAAGCGATGGATGAACATTGACTGCTCCGTGTTTTAGCCCGTGGATGATATCGGCTGGCACAAAGTAACCGAACGACACGACAACTCCTAGATCATACCCGTTGCCAGGCAACTACATATAATATATCCTCTTCGTTAGCTATACATTGGCTCCTTCTAACGTGCTTTACTCAAAACAGAAATGATTGTTAATACCTTCCATCCTTCGAGAGTTTTTGCATTCTCCGGTGTGTGATGAACAGGGATACTGTACAGCTCAGCAATACCTTTAGTAGGACCTATTAACGTGTATTTTAAGTAAATATGCAATGCATGTTTACAAAGGTTATAAAAATAACTTACTGGGCGTAATATTCTTCAACTTTCGGCCAGTTTTTCTATCTGGAGGACAGACAAGATCGATGCTAGCAATACAAGAGTTTGGCTTTGCTGGTTGTTTTTTTCATGTCACCCAATTAGTCCAATCACTTTTTCCTCTGAAGATCAGTCATTTTCCTCTGCCGTTACCTTTATCGAGAATGAGTTCCTTCAAATGCTTGACTGCAAAGTCGTCAGTTCCAAAGAATACCACTTTGAATTTATTTTTGCCAGCTTGTTGTGTGGTATATGCATGGTGTCGAGCATGCTGCAAAAAGCTAGACTATGAGGAAACCCATTAAACCCATTAGCTTTGTTGTTTTCCACTTGATTGAGCAAACAGATTTCAACTTACTCGAACGGATCGCCGAAAGGCTGCAGACCAACAAGGCAGAATTGTCGTTCGTAACATGCCGTATTTTTGGCAGAAAAGTATTGAGAAACAGCTTTGACAGGCTGGGAAATAAAGCAACTCAAAAAAAATTACCATCAACGCGTACATACACGTAGGATATTCAAATGTGACCCAAACTGCTGCATCATCAACAATTACAAGAACTGATACCCTACTAGTTCCTTGCTATGTCATAGTACATGCTCAAGTTCAATGATGATAATTTTCTTTCGCTAGTAAGTATATCTACTTAGCTGTCCTATTGTCTGCCACAATAACATATCGATGAGAACTTTTGAAAGAGAATGTCGCTAACTTTTTTATTTGTAAATCTAAATGAAAGCAAACCAAATCACTTGCTAGACAGTGAGACACATGGCAATGGATTAAACGCATCAGTCGAGGCTTCGTTGTGCTGTGCGATGTGTCCATCTGCCTGTCGTAAACATAGTCCGCCTATGTTTATGTTGTTTCACCGTTGATGTTTCAAATGCTCCAAAGGGCCATCAAAATAAGCAAGTGCTTTAATAACATGCCCGCAGAACGCGTGGTCGAGTCAGTGAACGAACCTGCTGTAACAAAGTATGTCAGGTAATGTCGATCGACAATCTAAAGTCATCTGTGTCATTTGAACAGTTAAGTTACTAGCCAGTAGCATATACGTTACCCTGGCAACTTATCGTAGTTGTCAAGCCCCACCCCTTCTCGCACAATTCGTGATGAACAAAAAGAAGGGGTGCCACAGCCGGCGGGTGCAAATTGGCACATACAGCATACATCCAGGCGGGCCCCATTATTGCATGGCGTTTGCCTTATCCAGCAGTGGCTCCGCTGCACATGCACCAATGAAAGCATGATGTTGGTATACTTTTTAAGAAACCAAATGCCGGGATGAATGAAAGTATAACAGGTGCTCCAAAGAAAGACGGTATACCCATCATTCAAATCGCTATCGATATAGCAGGCTGCAGTCGTCGTTGTATAAATGTAGAGACGCTGATGCGTTAGAAGATCTCAAAGCTAGTGTAAAACAGCTGCTATTGCTTCAAAAATCTGCTTTGAAACCGCAGCAGAAAAAAAAAGAGATCTTCCGCTTGTGTGCGGGCTGGTTGCAATATATAATCGTCTCCCTCCCCTTCTTTCTATTATTGTTTCCCACTTTTTGCTTTCTTCTTCCTTCACTCCACGCTTCTTGATTCCTCCCCCGCCCCTTCCCACATCATCATGCGCGAACCCAACTTGAGCTTTCCCAGTCAGAATCGAGCCGCCGTGTGCATCACTTCTGCCTTGTACGATAGACGGGCGCTCGACTGCACTGCTACACTCCCAATGATCAACTCGCTGACTCATCTTGCCTACTTGACCTCCACTTCGCCACGCATTAGAGAAATCTTAATACTTGATGGCGGCTTGGAACAGTTGGTGCGCATTCTATCCAGCCCACATGTACAGCAACCCATGACGATGGCAACTGCTACAAATGCAGCTTCACCACACGACCTACGGAGTCTGTGCCAATGGTCACTTGCTTTCCAGTGTGTCGTTAACATTGGTGTACGGGGCACGGAACAAATCCGAACAAGGGTTGTTGAGGCCGGCATGATTACGATTGTCCTCAAAGTGCTTCAGAACTTTTTACGAGCATTGGAGGCTGTTACGGGTGAAAATGAACAAAAACAACGTCAACAGCAGCAACAGCAACAGCAGCCTCAACAGCAGCAGCAACAGCAGATTGAAGCCAAGTTGTTTACAATGGATCGTCGCGGCAGTGAGTTAGGAGGTATTATTCAGCATCCAAATAATAACCCTTTTCTCTCTTTCTCTCTTCCTTTCCCCTACTATCCTTATATGAACCCTTCCATCCCCCCCCCTTTCCTCCTCATAAAACATTAACTCGCTGGTCTTTTTTCTATCAGGTCTGCAACTTGATTCGAGTGAGGATGATGCATGTCGATCTCAACCGCAAGCACACCAGCAACAACAACAGCAACAACAGCAACAGCAGCAGCAGCAGCAACCTGATCGGCAGCAACATGAAAACAGGCCGACAACGGCGAGACTTTGTTCATCTATGCATCCCTTGCCGACCCGTCGTCAGGCTCAATCACCTGTTGTTCGGAGAAGCACATTTCCATATGTGAAAATTAGTGCAGAACAACGCCGACGCAACCGACGAGGAGGCGCAACCCAGCAACATCACCAGCATCAGCGTGAACAAGAAGGCTCACTGGTCAACATGTTTTACCGCGAAGAAGATATCCTCATGTCACTACAGCTGTTGGCGTACCTGTCGAAATACCCTCATATTCGTCAGCTGTTTTACACTGCTTATGACTGTAACGTATTCTCTATCGTCGAAAGATTCACCCATCGTGTGCATCCGCATTTGATCCAGTATTGGGCTGGTGTTATCATGCGCAACGCTTGTCGCAAGGATGAAACGCAGGGCGGCATCCGGAGGTGTGCAAACATGCGTTGCGGAAAATGGGAAACGAAACCTCGCGAGTTTGCAAAGTGTCGCCGATGTCGTAAAGCCAAATACTGCAGCAAAGCATGCCAAAGCGAAGCCTGGAGCGACGGTCACCGCTGGTGGTGTGTCGAACGGCCGCCATCTTCAAGTACTGCTGCTGTTGTAACCGCCACTGTCGCTAATACTGAACCAGCAACAAACCATGCAACTGTTGCTACCGCTCAAACAACGACTAACGACACCAACTCGACTCCATCCAACACCGCCATTACTGAAACTCCTGCAGCACCTGCACCGTCTATTTCGTCAACGTCTCCATCAGCAGATCAACAACAGCAACAACAACAGCAGCAGCAGCAAGAGCTGCTCCAACCTATGCATCATTAATAATCAATCATTTGCACTACACTCAACAGCAACGTCATTCACTTAATCAATCACTTTTCACACTTCCTTTCCCTCCTATTTCTTCCGGATACTTACACATATACATTACTCATACAAATCTCGCTCTCAACCTTTTTCCCTCTAACAACTCATAAGTATATTACTATCCAAGCATATCCCCCTTCCTTCTCTTTATTTCAGCAAACTAAGCATGAATAATAAAAATGGCCTTGTACATACTATAGAAGGAAACGCGTAATAAAGAGTAAAAACAATGAAGAGCAATAATGATGATAATAGTAGTAGTAGTAGTAGTATTATCTATGCGATATAAAGAACATGAAGAAGAGAGTGACAAACAACGGTCTGAGATCATTTTTTCTTTCTAGCAAAAAACTCGAACGCTTCCACCATCTGCCGGGGTCGTTTCAAAGCCTGAATAAAATTAGCGCCGGGACGCGATGACGATGAACTTGAGGACGACGGAGCAATCTGCACAGTTGAGGGTGCGCGACTCATGACACTGTTCGAAGCTATGGACGACAGCGAGAACGTAGAGCTGTACTGCGAAGGGGACATGTACTTGAGGTCGATATCTTCGTCGTCGTCGGTCATATCTTCACCACTATCACGATCCCACACGTTGTAGTAGGTAAACTCGACGCCCACCACGGTCCGACAAAATTCGTGCACCATAGATTTAGTCAGCTCATGTCGTTTCTTGGCCGTCTTCATACACATGGACAACGGTGCATCCGTATGTGGGTTGGTGTATAACATGGCATGCTGTTGTTCTATGAAACGCAGTAAGGTATTCACAGCAGCTTCGCGTGTGGCGTCGTCAAAAAAGAACGAGTTGTGTTCACCGCCGCATTGTGCTACCATTTCTTGCCAAATGTGTGAGTCGACAAACCGCATAAAGCTCGACTCCAGAAGAGCATAAACAGCCGCTTTGGCCGGATCAAAGCAGCTGTGTACTTGTTTTTGGTGCAAAGCTGCAGACACGCTGCGTCGTATCCGCTCGTCAATGTTGACTTCGAAATGGCTGTTGGGGCTTAGGTAAGTTTCATAGATATGCTGTGCCGTAGCGAGTTGCTGGACGCTGTTGAGATAGGTGAACGATTCGTATTGTTCGAGTTCAGTGAAGAAAAACTTTAATGTTCTTCGATCAGTATCATACTGTAGACATGTTTTCTTGGTAAAATTCAGACCATAAACAAAAAAAGTACATACCAAGTTTTCACTGCTGATTTCCTGCAGCAAATGGTACAGAAAATAACACACAGGTATTTTGGATTGCAGCAGTGCCTTTAAACCTTCACGACGAATCTCGGATATGCAGATATCATCGGGTGTTTGCTCGCCGAAGAAGTTGTTGAGTTTGCGGGTGGATCGGCTGCGTTTTATCTTGTAGAGGGTATGGACATCGAACCCGGTGTTGTTGCTGGCCTTGTGAATCGATGATGCTGTCAGCATAGTACATGACGATGATCGTCGACGGCCACCGGTTGCTGTCATGTATTGTGATGAAGCCGGAGGAAGGCGAGGAAGCGGCAAATGGTCGATATCATCTTGATCCATTGGATCGTCCGTCGTAGTTAAAGAACCACTGATACTTGTAAAAGTGTTATCGAGTGATGATGAAGCATTCAGCGAGTTAGGTTGTTGTTGGAGCGACGACGTGGTGGTCATGACCATCATTTGTGCAAGGCTTCCGCGTCTTTGTTCAACGACTGGACGAGATCGAAGCGATAGACTTGTTTTGCAGCTGTCGAGTGTCGTGGCCATAGTGTGACAAAAGTGTGAGAACACAGACAACGACGGTTCCATAGTTGAAGATCGAAGAATAGGTTTTTTTATTGTTTGCCAAAAGGAGGAATACGGAAGGCAGGGGTGATGAGAGCAGAAGAGGGAGGGGGGATATGGGATGTGGATCAAAGATAGTATGTAAGTATGGCCAGAAAGGGAAGTGAGTGAGTGAGAGAGAGAGAAATGAGAGAGCTGGCAAGGGCGAAGCATAGATAAATTTAGGGAGCAGACATTTTTTAACTACTAGTGTTCGACTTCTAGAAAACTGTTCTGTACGATGGAAAGTATTCTATTTCGGCCGTAGCTCTTTTCCGTTTTCTGAGTTCGCGATTAATATGTTTCTAGTAAATGTTACGTCAAGAGCGTTTCTGGCATTCTGTAGTCTTCCATCGATTTTGTTGTCGGCTTCATGAATTAGAATGGGGAGGAGCATGGTGGGTAGGAGAGCAAGGGGATGTGCTTGGCTTTCCGTACGGCCACAATTGCAGCCTCCCTTTCACGCTGGTAGTGCATATGCTTGCTCGTTAGCGTACTGTAATCCTTCAAACAATCTAGATGTTCTATTTGCTGGTGTAATGTGCTGGATATGAAACCAACGGTGATGAGATTAAATTCTCAACAGAATGACAGAACAGAACAGAACAGAACAGAACAACAGAACCCGAATCAGTATGGTTCTAGAAGAAACCACGAAGCCTTTGGATCCCGTGCACTGTCCATGAGTAGTAGTAGATCGACATATATTGGTTTTAACTGTTCCACTGGACAGTCTTCCATCACTAAATATACGGTATTGTTGCTAATGACTATGTATATACTATGCTTCTTGTTTATTCACTACTACTACAGAGCGCCCTACGAAATATCCATGTAGTCCCCAGGGTTGCGAATCGTTTCTCGATTGTTTGCCTCCACCAGCGTTTGATTATAATCATCGGCAAGAGGACCAGATTGCACCTCCTTGATGAAATGGTCGAATTTAGGTGATACGCCTTAATTGTTGTAAAAAAACATGGTGCGTGAGTATACAATAAAGTTTTCCTTAACTTTTGACCCTGAATTGTCCTTTTTGTTGCTATTTACCTGGTTCCGAAAGACCAGCCAAACCGACCATGCACCGAAGCGTGGCACGAACGAGTTCTTGGTTCTTTTCGACTTCTTGCTTGACAGCATTGCTCCGCATCTTGAATTCCAGTGTGGCTTTGAATGGATCTACTAATTCATCCAATTCTGTACAACAAAGAGATCCGCGTCAATTGATCTCTGTGGCGTGTGTGTAACAGAATACCGTTTCTAAGAAAACTTACTTTGCATTACAGCTGTTGGTGCTACCTTGCCTAATCGAACCAGCATCAAGTAAGCGAGCATCTTGATATCATGCTGATCTTCTAATCCCGATCGCACAGTGTCCAAGAACCCATGCACGTCAATTTTATCCAAGCAAGTCGAGAGAAGGGTGTACATGCACTCGTATGCAGCCTAATCATTTTACCCATTTTCAGCCATTTCCTCATAATGCGTAGATGGCATAAAACCCCTTGTAGTTCCGATAATTTACCTTGCGGATTTCCAAACCATCGTCCACCTTGTGCTTGAACGGACCCATTTCAACAGTATGGATGAGCTCTTCCTTGACCACAGTTTCACTATACAAGAGTGGTACAAGTTCGCCCAACATGCCCTTGATCAAGTAAGGCTTTCTATGCACGGCTGAATTCATCGTCAAGAGCGCGAGCCGTTGTACGTCCTATCCAATCATTATGTAAGTTTACGATCCCACTTAGTTTCCGCCCCAATCAGATTCTCCTAGTTATCACTTACCAAGCTAGAATCCTGCAGCAGTGATAAGAATTGAGATAAAGTTGGTTTCAGAAGTTCATCATATTCAGTTGTTGGATCGACGATTGCATATTTAATTGCCGTGGCAACGGTTGCTCGGATATGTGCGGAGGGCGAAGCTAAACGCGATTGTAACTCGGGCAAAAACTTGGTGGTATTGGTCAATGCGAGCTTGCCGAGACACTCAGCAACAACACTGCGGGTGCCTTCTTCTTGCTCGGAGTCGCTGCTTTCAATAAGTAAGACCCAGATTTCGTCTGATGCAGCACCGAGCTTTGTGTTTTTGTCAGAGCGCGTGATAATCTATTCGTACAAAATAGGGTAAAAAGCAGATGTTTTCAGCGCGTGTGGGTTGATGAAAAGAGCCGTGTTTGCTTATGTATGTTCGAGCGTACCTCTTTCAAGGCGTGGAGCAGCAAATAGCGCCGCTTGGGCTGTTCTTTAATCTGTGCCACAATCAAGGGCAAGTATCTCTCAAGATTACCAACGCTAATGTTACCAAGAGCGAATGCAGCTGCAAACTTGACTTCCTCGGACTGTGCTGCAAACAATCGAAGCACATGCTCCTGGATGTTATCAATCGAACTCAAGTTGCTATTTAGTACAAGGCCAGTCATTAGTATCTATTTGAGGGTCAATTTGTCCATTATACATAACCACAGCAGAAACTCATAGCACTTACACACGACGGCCAATTTCACCCAAAGCAAGGAGGCTCAGGTACTTGATGGAATCGTTGGTCGAAGCATCCTCGATGTAGCCCTGGAATCCACGGATAGTGTTTTGGCAGTTTGCTTCGTCCGTGTTGACTGCAAGAACAGCAACACATTGAGCGACAGTAGCAGCAGCTTGCTTGTTGGCAACAGCTGCAACACCGCCAGCAGAAACACCCGATGTCTTGACGTTCAACAATGGATCAATCAGTCCTTTGACGAGTATCTGGTAATCAGCCGGGCTTGCTCGAGCCAGCGCGGCAAACAAATTCAACAAGCTGTCGAGAGCAGCGCCTTGTAATAGAGGTGATTGGATCAATTGGAACAGAGATGGGAGGGTGGCTTCCTTAATACCCTGGACTGACTCTGGTTTGGCGATAATGAGTGCTTCGATGGTGCGCAGTGCCAATGGCAACAAGTGAAGATCGGCGTCAGAGATAAGAGGAATAAGTTCATTTAGAAGCTTCTTGCAGCTTTCGTTAGGGATATGTTGGCCAAACCTGTAATATCATCAAGGATGTTATTTAGTTTTCTTTCCTCCGTTATAATATATTCATCGAAGCAGTCCCTTTTCCTGATTATCTCAAAAGATCGAGAAAGCATACTTTTGGATAAGAATGCGCAAGCATTCAGCACTAGCAACACGCAACGAACGGTTGTTCTTGCGGAGCAAAAGGCTAATTTCGTCGACAGCAACCAAGACACAGCGCTCAAGCTCTGAACCAGCCGCTACAGGGCTTTGACAAATGATTGCCAACGTGCGCACAGTGATCAAGCGCGTCACCTCGTTTCGCAAACGATCCAAAAACATATCCCATGCCTCACGTTGTTCAGACTGAAGTGCATCGCCTGCTTGAGCGAGCAAAGCGCCTAGACACATGATAGAGCGCTCCTTGACTTCCTGATCCGCATCACTTGTGCCGAGAATCTTGATAGTGATATTGTAAATGTCCAAGATGTAGGGCTTGTAGTCTGAATTCATGTCTGCAATATCGTATTCTCCAGTTTCACTGTTGCGCTTGATAGGGCGGATGACCTTGATCAGCTCGATGCAGAGCAAGAACGCTTCAGAGGTGATCTTGTAGAATCGATCCGAAAGGGTACGAATAATTGGAGGAGAGAGGCGGTTAAGGTAAGGGTGTAAGACATTGGTAGAATGGTTGCGGAACAGCTGACGTAAGAATGTCAACACTTCAATCTTCAAGTTAGACGTCAGTGCAATGTGCTGCGTCTCGTTTGCTCCGGTTGCTAGCGATGACTCGATAGCAGGAATGAACAGCTCGATCTCGTTGGAGAGACCACCATGCAATACGGTGACAAGCTCACGCAAAAGGATGAAGCCAATTTGTCGCGTTTGGGTCGATTTGGATGAAAGCTGCTTTGAAAGTGCCTTGGCAAGCTTAGGGACCTGTGCAAGAAGCAGCTGCTTGGGTCCTTCACCGGTCTCCATGTCACTGTCAAACGTCTGCGAGCCGGATGATCGTACTTTCTCAGGGAGAAGCGAGAGTTCGTCTCCAAGACCCGTAGCATCAAAGTAAAGGTTGGATTTGGCAGAATGCAGTGCAATTGCAGACTCGCCACCGCTGCCACCGTACACGGCAGTTTGTCGCAACAATGCAATAAAGGTCATCAAAACGTCAGCTCGGACGGATTCTTCGCGCTCCTTGAAACGGCTGATCAGTGCAGGTGCTACTGTCTCGTACAAAGATTGTAACAAGTCGGAACGTGTTCCGATCACCGCACCAAGAAGCTTAGTCGATGAACGTCGCACCTTCCATGACATGTCGTCGTCCTCGTCGGAATAATCTCTACATAGTTGTAAAATGATAAAGAAGTATCTATCAGTATTCTTCATTTCCCTCCCTTCTTTATAAATACATACACTTCTTCGTCGAATTCGTCTTCTTCGTCTTCTTCCTCCTCTTGACACTCCATTCCATCATCATCCTAGACATATCGAAAAAAAAACGTTAACTTTTACTCGCTAGCGTATTTGGCCAGTGACAGAAAAGTAAATGGTCAAGTATATAACCTCATCGTCTTCTGCAAAGTTAGGATCGTATTTCAGATATGTCAAGCCGAGTTCAATGATTTCGTTGATATAAGGCGTAATTTCAGTAGGGCATCGAAGTACAAAAGATTCCAGCGACTGGAGGCATATTTCTCTCAATTCATCGTCCTCGTCTGCCTCCTTGGCGTGATTGACAATGATGGGTAAAAGCTTTGGCAAATAGCCTCCCAATCGTCTTGTGCTGTATCGGCTGCAGTAACAACAACAAACAATGTTAGTTTACCAAGTTGACTGTCACCTTTTTTTTCTCAACGGATCGAGACCAAGGTTTTTCTTACCTCAGTACACCTGCGCATTGTACCAAAGTTCTCAGTTTTTCGCTGTTCTTTGTGTTTTGTAATCGGTCCAATAAGTAATTGATCAGGCTGATATACATGGTATCGGTCAAGTTAACGACAGAATAACCAATGGCAACCGTGGTTCGCTTTCTTACGGCTGCACGGCCATGATCCAAAAGGGGTAACAAGGTGCCTTGGATCTTGGTCTGCTGGGACACGGTGATTTGAGATCCAAATCGGGAAAGCACCTCAGCCAAAATGTCCAATGCATCCATCTGCATTTCATACGAGTCCTGTACAGAACACAGCGACAAACATACGTTTAAGCACACACATACTCTCTTTCACCTGACTTTTGGGTACTCCTTCAACAGATAATCATTGCTTTTCTTTACCGATTGAGACATTTGCAATAGTTTGGGAATGATTTTTTCGCATATTCTTGGCCCCATCACAGGATCTACTTCGGTGATCACCGTTTTCAGACCTACACTCGCAGAGTCAATATACGCATTGAGTGCAAAATGACATCTCTTTTCAAAAGAAAACAAAGCCCAACAGAAAGGGGATCAGAGGGACTTGCCCATGCTCGTGATGCCTCGAAGAATTTCGTTGTCCTTTTGCACCGCATAGTCACTCAACCGATCAATGATTTCCAAAGTATGTTCGATACGAATACGTTTGACGAGGGGGCCCAGACTAAAATAAGTGCAGTAGATAATCAAATCTTAAATCAATTTGCTCACACATATACGTAAGAGAGGATGTTGCTTGGAGAATAGCCGGGTTGCTTTACCATTTGACAGCAAGATTTTGGACTTCACCGTTCTTGTCCTCCATCAAGTTTAAAACTGCTCGAATGACCTTGCCTTCAATAGCCTCGTCCATAGAAAGTCCATTTTCTTTTTGCAACTCATTCATCAAGTCATTCAGGGCCATGTAACGAAAGTCCCTGTCTTCGTTACTCATCTTTTCAAATAAAAGCAGATAGAATTGCGGTTTAGTGTTTCATAAAAGCTCAGTTCCCAAGCACCTGCACAGAAATTCGCAATTGTTCATTATAAACACACCTTTTCGATGAGATTAGCAACCATGTACGCGTTTGTCACTGCCATTGTTGCCTTTATTTGGTCGGGTTTATGCGCGAATACAGAGAAACGAAAAAGAAAGGCTGCGCGTATTGTAACTTAACGTACGTGGACGTGACCGCCCCTCTATTTTCGAAGCATTGAGCTTGTCTGAACTCAGCAATCTTGGTGTTGTTACTCGCAGGAATGGCGTTGTTACTGCGCTCCTTCGCTCACTCCTTTTTCAAGGCTCGCTCTTCTCACTTTGATCAGAGTTAGCTCGATCAAGACACCAGATTATTTGTTAAACCTTCCTTTGTAGGCATAGGCACTACCATTTGACTATTGTAGAGGGATCCCCTGCAGACGATATATCACAGCTCACGAAGAGACTCTGCCAGGTATGTACAGCCAACGCTCACAAATCTCGATGAACGACATTGGACGACTATCGGCAGCTTGCAGCAGGAAATATAAAGCTAGTATATCATTGCAAGAGCTTGAAGGAAAAATCCCACGAACTCTTACTGTGAATCGTCACCATTTAAAGCGATATTCTGAAAGTAAAGTAGTCCCTCAAAAGTTCATATTTTACAGTCTCTTCGTAGGCTATGTTATATTAAAATTATCAAAGCTCAACATAAAAAACAACCTCGTTGTCACGGTCTCCAGTGTCTGGCAAATCTACCTTAAATAACCTGCCTTGCAGCTAGAAGTATGTGCTGATTATACGAAGCATTTTGCTGTTAGTCTACTAGACCATCTAAGTATTTTCAAGGAATTCCCTGTTTAAAACTCGCAAGTAAATCATACGCCAAGATGGACATCCAAGGTTGTTTTAAGATAGCAATAAATACAGGCACTCGCTAACAATAGTACCCAGTTTTATCAATTTTAAACTTTCGAGCTAATAGCAGAGCAAATACAGCAGCATCAGTAGCACCATATGAAAAGCCATTCGCAAGTGTACACTTGCTAGCTTGGTGGTGGTAGTCGTTTGTTAGATTTCTTCGCATCGATTCATAGACAGCGCATGGAAGAATACATTTGCTCGACGAGAATTGTGTTTACTTTCTAATAATGTTACCCTGTTGAATACTCACATATAATCTTCTAGACATTCGTCGACATATGCGGGGATACATATGAACAATGTTTCACCTTTCAGAAGAACTCAACAGTCATACACAGCATGACAGAGTTAATTTTACCACGTTATATATGTACCCTGCTTTTAGCATTTGTAAGGAGAGCTGCAGCATCATGCAAGAGCACTTTGAAGAGAATACCTAAGGGTAAAGAAGACTGACAGAAGTGCAGTAGATGATGATAATTTCATTACTATTTCTACGGCTTGACATCGTACTTACAAGCCAGAAGTATTGGTTCTGGTATATCCACCAGCGGCATTGTGTGTGTGGCTGTTCACTATTTCCAACACACAGCAACAATAAAGTAATCCCGACTCTGGCGGCTATCAAAAAGAGCAGATCAATCATTTTTTCCCTCTTTTTCTTCTCTTTTTCCATTCCCAATTCTTCTTCCAAAAGAAACCTATGAGCTCTGCAGCAACTTGTATTGAAACCGGCCAACACAACAGCGGACGCTTTATTTTATGCAACGATCAACATTGCTCCAAAAAGTTTAAATACACCGACTGGGTGATTCACACCAAAATTGATGGTCCCCACCCTCGCGATCACTTTGCCTCTGAACGAACCTTCCTGTCATGGTTGCGGACTGGAATGACGCTTGTTCTCATTGGTATATATATCTTTCACTGTGCGATTTTTGATAAAACATGTATACTTTTGACTGCCACTATACCATCTCCATCAGAGAAAAAAGAAACTCATGGCTTTGTTTTTACTCGGCAGGGTTTATGACACTGTTGGATGTTCGGCAGCTACTTGCACCTTCAAAGGGGCTTCCATGGTCACACGAAGATGTACCATACAAGACGCGGATTGTGGCGTTCGTGTTCATTGGGCTTGGGCTGGCCAGTATCCTGGTATCGTTGGTGACTTATTTTAAGAACCAGTATCGGATCGTCAACCAGCTGTTGGATGTCGGCCACGGTTGGGCAGGATATTCCATGGCGTTAATGATCATGTTGTTTGTTTGCTTCGTGATGGTTGTTGCAATTACGGAGAGCTAATACGTAACAACGCCCTAATTGTTCTCTTTGTATATATAACTTTGTACCTTATTCTCTGTATGTTATTCCTTACAAAGTGTTTTAGATATCAAATAAAAGAATGCTAGTATACCCCTGATGCGTGTTGTCTGTGTAACTCGTCTCTTTCATTTCAGAGCCCATTGCATGCACAAAGAATATTAACCTTATTCGAGCATTTAAGGTTTCTCAGATGATGCAACCTTAGTGCCCCATAGCGTCATTAACTTGATCTTTGTTCTGAGAGTAACAAGGTTTATTATTGTTGTTGCTGTATGTATATCTTCAGCTGAAAAAGAAAGATGTTTCGAACTGCGGAAAAACAAAGGAGTAAGCACCATGGTCGCATGACAGTAGTGCGTATTGCGTGCATTTGTAAAAAGAAACAGAAAGTATATAGTATGCATAATAGGGTAGAGACAAAGAATGAGGGGGTTCGTAGGCATGGTGATGGTCAGTATACGTTAACAACAGGAGGGGGAGTATTTACAACAATGAGGAGGTGGAGGGAGAAACAGTTGGATTATGTTGCTGTATATGATGAAATGGGCTAGGTGCATCGTCTGTGAAGAAGACAGAAGTAATGAGAATGGATCAGAGGGTTCGGTGAAAGTGGAGAAAAGGTATAAAGCAAAAGACACTTCAGACGTGTGCAACGACAAGGCCATTACTGGTTGGCACTATAATCCCAGATGCGCACTTCACAGTCTTCGCTTGCGGAGACGATCTTGGTATCGCTCATTGCCACTGCAGTCACTGGTCCGCTGTGTCCCTCCAGCGCATGCATACAGTGGCCATTCTCAAGGTCCCACACCCGCACCGTTCGGTCGTGCGAGCCAGAGACAATGCGCAAGCTATCAAAGGCAAGACTCCATACGCCTTCGACGTGGCCAAATAGTGTACGCAAACATACGCCTTCAAACGTCCAGAACTTGAGTGTGTTGTCCAAGCTGCCAGACACAATGATAGGTGTGTCGGACAAGGCGTTCAACGGTGGTGACGAGTTACAATCATCAGGTGCTTGCACCTGGCGTCGGTTGGCTGTGCTTGCTCTATCCTCCGTAGCACATGCTGGCTGGAAGTTGTTGAGGTTCATTGGCGATGCGGTATTGACAACAGGATTGCTGCTATCGGTATGATCTCCATTGAATCGATGCTTAAATCCCCTTGGACTTGGCAGTGCAACTTGAACTTGGCCCACATGGCCCTGGAACACCTTGATGCACGACCGCGTTTGCAAATCCCACAAGCGGATAGTAGAATCGTCGCTACCGGATACAAGCAGGTTGTCTTGCGAACAGATGCGAACAGAGTTGACCCATTCATTGTGTCCGGTGAGCGTACAGCATTCGCCTCGTTGAAAGTCCCATACCCGGATCGTCATATCCGTAGAACCGCTGGCAAGCAATTTGGAATCAAAGTGCAGGCTCAAGACACCGCCAGTGTGGCCTTCAAGCGTGCGAATGCACCGTCCGGCGTGCCAATCCCATATCTTGAGGGTGTGATCCATGGAAGCGGTCACTACTTTTGCATTGTCAAATTGAAGTGCACGCACACAGCGTGTATGGCCTTCCAATGTGCGGATCGTTTCGCCTGTGTCAAGACTCCACACTTTGACCGATTTGTCGTAAGACCCGGTCATGACGATATTATTGGCGTCGCAAAATTGGACGCACATTACGCCATCCGTGTGCCCCTTGAGCACGCGCACATTGTATTTGTTGCGTCGCCAATTGCGTTCCACCACCAGTCGCTCGCTGTAGACTTCTTTCCAAGGTCGTCGAGTCACCACAGGAACTATTTCGGTGTTGTGTGACGGATACACTCCACCTTCAAAGGATTCGACTGTCGTGCCACTATGATCAATCTTGGCTCGTTTCGTTGGATGTGCTTCGTCTTGATCAAGAGCTGCTGGTCCGCAGGCTGTACGCAGTGGCGAAGTGTCGTCAGTACTGCCAACACGATGGGTTGTTACTACAGATTGATCTGGCAACCGTTTTCGTGGTACATTTGCACGTTTATTGTCTAGCAGGGGCAAGCCCCAGCCACATTTTGTACATTTCTTATCGATATGCTGTTCGCACATTCTATGCCACAATGCGTCGTCGTCTGCAAGCGAACGCCAGGATTGCGATACTTGAGCAGCATGGCATAGTGACTTGGCATCCAAGAATGAAAAGATCCGTAGCGACACTTCACGAGGCAGAATGTAACTAAAATCAATTCGTAGCAGCGGTCTAATCTCGTCATACAAAAATGATAGTTGTGGCATGCAGCAAGTCGAAAGCAGACCCTTCAAAATAAGTGTGCGTTGATCGGCTGGTGCTGCTGAAAACAAACTCCAAATGCGTGAAATGGCCGCTCTGTCTGAAGTTGGAAGCGTTTCCATTTGCTAATGTAGTACATGAAAATGAAAGACAACTGTCAGTAACCGAAGAGCATAATTATAGCGATGCTACAGCTGCAAAAAGATTTCATTGGTAAGGGCGCTTACTCGTTGTACGTCTTCAAAGTTGAAGGAATCAGGCATTCGTTTCCGGGTTAAATCGGGACGATGGCGATAGCATAGTTTCCTTGTATTGGAGTATTGTGCAGGTACATGGCGAGTCAAAAAGCTATGGTGTATGTCTGGTGCAGGTTGTGCTAATTTTTGCTCACGTAGTGGCTCGTCTTTGTCGCTCATGGTTCTCAAAGCTTTGTAATCAAACAACGAACGACGATTTTTAGTAGGAGAGAAGCGAAACCGTCTGGTTGAACCTGTGCGGTTTCTATGTATTTTTTTCGACTGCAACCGTAATTCGCCCAATCAAATGGTTCGGCGGACGGCGGAGCGAATTGCAATATGCCTGACGGCACATGGTCCCACAGGTTGATTTTTCGCACGCTAATGCGACATGCAAGAATAAAATGTCAAATGCTCATTTTTGGACGCTGCTTTGCACAACTTTGTTTGGATTTTGCGTCATACAATTCCTAAACAAACAACACAGGTCCATCCGTCTTTTTCTTACGCATAACCTGCTTGTTGCTTGTACACGTTACGCTTCCTCCGTTTTCATGCCGCCGCCGGGTGCTCTGATTTCTACTGTATAACATGTAAATAGCACAACCTAAGCTGTAATAGTATACCAAGATGACAAGCCATTGCACTGCTTTTACATTGAGCAGTTGATGGGCACAGTATAGGACAGTTGACTTTCAGTAAGTGGATCCCATACTGGAAGTGGTGTGCTTTCAACGTAATAATGGACTGTCCAAGTACGGAGAGTGTATACATACAACTTGTTTTCTTGCCCTCACTAATAATCATACTGTACTGTAAACATCAAGATACATATTGCAATGCACACAATCAAAACATACTAACTTTTTAGAAGCTTCAATAGCATATTCCATTTATCTTTGTCACTTTGTTTTCTAAGAAAAAACTGAACTCACCTACAGAACGCACTTTTTTCTTTTTCTCTACCTTTGATATTCTTACTTTACTGCATCCACTCATCAGATGACAGCAGTAGAATGGAGCTGTGCTAAGAAACTACAGATACATAGCATAACATAAAAGAAGACAACACTCGCTTAAAGATGATGATATCTCAATGCCTGGATTAACCAGTCCCATAACTAACAGAGAACGTTGAACTTGGATGCACATCTATCATAGGCCATGGATAGCGAAGATAGTAAGCAGCGTTTCCATCTCAACGCTTACTACACACGGTTGCTATTATGTGGAATCGGTACAAGCCTAGCTACTGTATTAGATTCCGCTATTATCCCATGTTAGTAATAAATCGTTGATGTATAATGTACTCTCTTCGATCGGTACCAGCTGATTCTGGAAGTTAATAAGACACAAGCGGTGTCAAAAGGACACTGAATCGTTAACGAGGTGCTACTGTCTACAACCGCTTTGGAGTAAGAGCGACCTATTCACAGTATAAATTACAAGTAACTGTCCTTGTAATTAGCTATTTTTCTTTTAATGTCGAGGCCGGATGAAGACAGGTACATGCCAGCTGTATATAGAGCAATAAAAATCAATCAATTTCTCTTTCACTTTTAATGTATCATTACGGAAAAGACAAACACTGATATTCAAAATGTTGATTTCAAGAGGCCATGGATAGTTTGATTAAGTAATAACTACCTTGTGCTCGTTTGCTTGATATGATATCATTATTTTAAAAATGTTTGGTGATTCTGCTCATTTCTAGAATCGCACATATACATACCGATACACTTGCATATCACCAGAGCAAAAGCAGCCGCAATCTAGCAGCATATGCAGTCTAATAGCTAGTATGCGAATGAAGAAAAGTAACTTACTTTTTGCTGCTGTATAAAAATAGTTTTCACTATTTGCTTCTCTAGGTGAAGAAGAGATCTCCTTCTTATTCATCCCTTGGCGGTTGCAGAACACTATAGATTACTATGTAATTCTTTGCTACCTCTATGATATCGTGATGTGTTCTGGATTTGGTATACCTTCGCTTCCCAATAAATCAGCGATATTTGACAATGATGATGTAGAACGATGAACAGACCAAATGATTGTTAAGTGCTGACAAATGTGTCACACAGCCTACTAGTTCACAAAAAGAAAAATCCTCTCCGCCATAAGGCCACATGGCGTACACCAGTATCGGTTTCAATAAAGAAGATGACCGGTTGTTTGAAACGAAAAGGACATTAAAACCTAGTGATCTACCACTGCTAGGTTATAGGAGAAGAGGAAGAGCATCTAATACTTACGAGTAGAGAGAATACATAAAAGGGACGGACGTCGGACCTGAAACTGATTTTCATTCAATGCCAAAACAAGCAACAAGCACACGCGCAAAAGCTCACATAACAGGTGGATTGTGTTATATATCCCCAGAGCAGCCAAACCTGCAAGCCAGTACGACTACTATAAGCGCTCTCTGTTTTCCCTCTTTTCTTCTTCTTCTTCTTCCTCTTTGTTCGTTTCGTCCTTTTTCAAAAAGGGAACGAATCATAATTTGTTTGATCCCTCCCCTTTCTCATCCGCCATTCCTTTCCATCCCCGTTCTTCCTTTGCCCCCTTCACACCGCACCACACTTCACAAACAGACCGAAAAGAAAAGAGAGGTTCATCATGGGATCGCTTCAGGTTCCTGATACACTGCAAGTGAAACCCAGCAGCAGTACACCTTTACGTAAAGTAATGACATCGGGCAACTACCCGAAATCCACACCGAGTTTACTACCTCAAAGCCGCTCGTTAAAAAGTACAAGTGCAGTTTCGGTGTATGCAGCAGCTGCATATGATGCCAACAATATCCGACGACAACGGTCTGAGTCGTTTGTACAGCAACGAAAAAGCAGAGATCATCACCGGCACGATTTAGTACCGAGAGCGCCTTCGCAAATTTGTATGAGTCGCCATTCACCAATACGAGCTGCGACCTTGCCTCAACCAACAGAATCGATCGCATCATCGGATGCAACGTCGTCGGATTCGGAAGACGAGGACGAGGATCACCATAATCATCATACCCACCCACAAGAAGAAGAGCAGCAGCAGCAGCAGCAGAGAAAACGCGAGAGTAGTGTGAGCAGTGGCAATACAATCAGCAGTGATAGCACTACACATAGTGGACGAGAGGATGAAGGTGCTATTCTAGAAGGTGTCATGATCCGTCGCGCGGTCCGACCGAGTTTTGTTCTGCCAACAAAGAAAGAGGTTGTCCAAGCACAAGCACAACATCATCACAACCATCGTAAAGAGCCCAAAACACAACCCAAAGTCATCACGGATCGAGAATATTGGTCACCCCCACCTCTTTCACCAGACGCATCACCCATTGCTTACAATGGATTCCACGCCACAGACGATCCCAACGCCGTGGTCTCCTCGCCCTTATCCCCAACATCAACCACAGCGAACGACTCTTCAGCAGCCAAAAAGCAGCATTTTTTCAAGCTGAAAAAAAGCAACAGCAGTTCATCCAACCATTCGTTATTTCAGTTCAGTAAACGTTTTCATCAGCATCGACACGATCCAAATCTTGCACAAAACTCAAACCTTGTATATCCTCCTCCTCCTGTATCTTTTGGCGACAATCCCGAAACGTATGTTCTCGTGTCACGTAGCGTCAGCTTTTCTTTTTTAAAATTTATTTTTTTATGGGGCAAGTGCGTAATTCTTACTTTTGTTGTACGTTACAGCGATCGCTATGGATTTAAAAAGGCTTCCCAGTGGATTACTCTGGACGACCATCATGAATTCGACGAGACATACCAACCAACCTTAGATCGACGACTCGGCAAATGGCAGCAGTTGCTCGAAGAATACGAGCCAAAGTTACCAGAACGAAGTTCAAAAGGTAGAAAAAAAGAGATTGGTGATCTACACAGGAAACGAACAATAAAAGAGTAGACAACTAAATTAAAACAACGACAACATCAATCAAATCAGTCAAACGGTATATCCGTAAAGGTGTTCCTGCTCATCTTCGAGGAAAAGTAAGTGGGCTCTATGTCTGTTTGACCTCACATCCAGAGCACTGCTCTTGTTCCTTTCTCTGTTTCCCTTTGCCTCTCCAATGAAATGGACGGAAAACTCATGCTATTAACCAGGTATGGCTACACTACAGCGGAGCGGAGGCTAAGATGGACTCCAACCCCGGTGTATATGCCAAATTCCTTGGCAAGGCCGAAGAGATGGGCGATAGCAACGAGTTTGCGGATATCATTGCACGCGACCTTCATCGTACGTTTCCTGACAATATCCAATTTCGATCCAGGACACCATCATCGTCTACTGACGCACAACAGCAACAGCAGGAACAACAGCAAGAACAACCTGCAATCATATCTGCATTACAACGCGTTTTATCTGCATTCTCAGTCTATTCACCCTCGATCGGATATTGTCAATCACTCAACTATATCGTGGGCATGCTTCTATTATTCATGAACGAAGAGGAGGCATTTTGGACCCTGGTGGCTATTGTACAGAACCTGCTGCCAGCTGGTGTCTATGACGTTACGATGGAGGGATCCAACATCGATCAAACAGTGTTGATGATGTTGATCTGGGAACGCATGCCGCACTTGTGGAACAAGCTAGCGGAAAAGAAATCTTCATTTTGGGACTATGCCGCAGATGGCACGTCTATGCCTACCATTACACTCGTCACCAACCATTGGTTCCTGACACTCTTCATTAATATTCTTCCCATCGAGGTAACAAAAGAGAATGAAAATAGGGGCGGTGGTGCCGGTATTTTTTAATTTGTTATTAAATCTGATGGAGCGCTTATTCTCTCTGGTTTTGTTGCTAATCATTGATGCTGTAGACTGTATTGCGAGTGTGGGATTGCTTCTTTTAGTAAGTGTCTCTTGCCCATGCCAGCCTCACCCCTATCATTGGCATATTAGACTCTTTTTGCCCTGTTTTTCTAGTTAATGCAGCATACACTAAATGAGTTTAATTACTTTTGTTAGTGAGGGTGCCAGTGTTCTGTTCCGTGTCGCATTGACATTATTCAAGTTGAGCGAAAATGCGATCATGTCTTTGGACGATTCTTTGGAAATATTCCAAGTGATACAGGTAAATATTTTGATATTAAACGTGCATAGATGTGTGTAACCTTTCCTCTCGATTGACACTATTGAACACCACGTGTTAGAACATGCCGAAAAAAATCATTGACTGCCAGATGTTACTAGATGTAAGCTAACGTAAGAGAACTTTAAACAAGTGGACTTGAATCATATTGACAAGCAGAATCACACTTCAAATCTGTTTAGCATACGTTTCGGCGGCACGGATCTCTTACCGATATCACTCATGACGATCTAGAACGCCGGCGAGAAATGTGTCGTGACAGACGGCGATCAGGTCGTGTTCCTAGCAATGCCAAATCAAGAACGCTACCCCGGCGGCCGTTTGGCACGACTCCGTGGAAGCGTAAAGCATCCAACAAGCATAAATAATACCCCACGACTCACTCAAAAACAGCGCACCACAGTCTCACGTCACATACTAATTACTTGTTTCTCTTTTTTGCACTTAATATTTTCACTTCCATTCAACAAGTCTATCATCTCATACTCAATCTGTTGTTGTATAGATCATTCCCCCCCCCACCTACCCTCACAAGTTCACTCACGCACTTCCAATCACCATTCTTGTTACCATGTAATCAGCAATCCTCGCACTCACTCATATTGTTTTCTTCTTGCATATTCTTTCCATGTTCTTGGTTCCTCTGTAGAACCAACAAGCAACATTATTACTTTTACATATCATATATCTGCAGCATAATACAAACTTATTCCACATTTATCTTTATATTATCATTTATATTTGGACATGTCGGAGGCCGGGATGTGTGCAGTTTGTGTAATGTTTCTCAATTATATATTGTTGGCACCATTGCAACGCTATCTATCGCGACGGTATGATAGCATTAGTCACCCCTTTAGATCAGCCTCAGATATATACAAGTCTCTTGAGGGGCCTTCCAAGAAAAATAAAGCCTTTATATTCAATGACATGTTGACATTTTGTAACCTCGTTAAGTTCAACCCTCTGGGACACCCCTTCGTAAGTTGCTTATGATCAGAGACTGGTATACAGTATTATGGTACATTATGTGAAAGTGTATAGGGTGGTATTTTTCAAAATCTCCTTTTCTGAGGTCACACTCAATAGCCAATTCAAAGGAAAGCTTAAAAGAGTTCTTTTCAATGCTCTTTCGTACTTGTATAGAGCCGGTATGTTCCTTCCGGAGTTGCGAGATTATTTCGTTTTGTTCATGACAAGTGTCCTATAACAGCAGGGTTATGTTACTATCAAGTACTATTGTGGTATACTGTGACAGAGCAACAAAAACAAGTCAACAAAAACAACACATACCAGTAAATAAGCCAATATTTCAAACAATGGCATGAGAGAGTATTTTTCGTCAAAGCACGTCGGTATTTCGGTTGTCCGAGGAGTTTGATCTATAAATTAACCGGCTTCAGTGACAGAGACAGAGATCAAAGTTATTGTTATTTTGACACATTGGACACCAAACACTTTGACTTTTCAGAACGTTTTTTGTTGCTGTTGAGGTACTTGGAACGATATGTATTCAAACAGCAAGCAGGCTCTCCAGCAGTTTCATCTTCTATAAATATATGTACTTTCGCTCTAATTACTGTCGAAAATGACGAAAGCGGCTTACAAAAATATATGTACATTTATTTAATGAGTACATTATACTTTGGCCAAAAGCGTACGGTTCACATTGAGTTTAAGGCATAGTAGAGTAAAGCTAGCAAGTATATATGCAACGCCTGTGAACATCTTGAATGTTAGAAATGGCTCAGGTGTGACATGGCTTTCAATTGCGCTTGCAAGAGTTGCACCAAGAATGCCAAACGCAGCGATAAATATATTGATCGCCAAACCAATTGAAAAATTTTCTGTACTCAAGAGGAATGCCACTATTGGGGATACTATACATGCAATAGAAGCCTTTGTCAGAAAAATTTATCATCTCGTGTTATTCGACTACGCATAGTCTTGCTTGTTATACTGTTACAAATCATTACCGAGAGAAAAATAAGATCCACAAGCGAAGCCAAAGACAATCATGAAAGCAATAAGCATTCCGTAGCTATATGCAAACTTCCAGAGAAGCATACTACTCAGACCAGTGATTGTCACAAAAAGAAAGTTTGAGTTGATAGGTCCTAGTCGATCACCAAGCGCTCTAATTATCGATAGTTAAAAATTATGAGCCCCATCTTTCCATATCTTTCCAAAGGAACCATCGGTTTTTTTTACTCTACCCTGAGAAGAAGCGACCGAAAAAATTTGAGGCAAAATTTATAGATATAAGGGCAGAGCCTTGAGCGGTCGAAAGCCCAAGATATGTGGCGTATGCTAGTCGAGTACAAGATAGAAGGGTTCATTGTCAGTATTCAGTTTGGTGTTACTTCTTTTTCTTTACTTTCACTATCTACTGTACTTTTACGTTAGTAATCGCTTATTTACATGGTATATAAAAGGATGGTATATAATACCCTGCCATTTGAAAAGTAGCGGCCAAACACCATAGTAGGTAATTTTTGTTTCGAAAGATATCAAGACTGCATATGACATTCACGGATTTACGGGAACGGGGGAGAGGAACACGGTCTTTCGTTAAATAGCAGCCAAGGAAGGTAAATACGAAGCAGATGATACCTAAAATACGATATGTCCTATCGGGGAAAAATGATAACGTTGTAAACGTCGTCGAACAGCTTCATGAACTAGAAAAAAAACGCCTTTTACCATGCACCTCCTAGACTGTTATTAATGGGAGTCATCATGAATGGTATGACTAGACCACCAATGGAGGCTCCACTCGACAAACAGCCGAGTGCAACGCCACGCTTACGATAAAAATATTGAGGGGCGATAGCCAGCGATGTCTTGATTAATTTATGCTTGTTGTTAGAATTGGTAGCTTTTCTTTGTAGGATTCTATTTTTACTATGTATGTACTTACCGAGTACACAAATCCAACACCTGCACCAAAACATACAGCTTGCGTCAAATACAAATGCCAGATCTAAATCGATGCCTGAGTTTGTGAAATTATTTCTTTTTTTTTGCGCTAAATATATATCGAATAATCAACAAACCTCTGTTGTAAATCCTGCTGCCACTAATCCTATCACCATCAAGGTACTACCAATATTCAGCACAAATTTGGTACCATATATGGATCGCAAAATTTGAGCCGGCAAGGACATAGAATTTGACAGCAACCCACATAATGTACCGACAAGACTTAGTTGCAGCGTTACGTCCAAGGTTTGATCATCAAACACGTTCTGCTGATAATAATTTTGCATAACGCCTACAAATAGTTATATTCGTGAGCAAGAATGTCCTATTCTGAATGCACGATTTGTTTATTGGCTGCCAAACTAACTTACCCCTACGTAAACGAAGAGACATCAATTAAGCAAATTAAAAACACATGTTAGCTCTTCTGTGGTAGTAAATACTATAAATGGTGAATGCTTTCTGATATACAAACCATGAAGTAATTACGCCGAAGCATATAAACTGAACCAAAAAGCCGCCAATTACAACAATCCATCCATAACCACCATCAGGAATGGTCGAATCATCTACATTTGTCTGATGATGTAGGGTATCATCCTTGATAGTTGCCTTAAATTCATTGTCGGGCGAATGGGTTTCTTCTGATACTTCCACCGACTGCGTACGATTTTCTAACAACGGTTTCTTTCTTTAACAGCTGTCTCTCATTCTATAACCATATCACGATATCAAGCGGTGAATGTACCCTTTTAGTACTCCCTTTGTTATTTGTTGGGAAACCAAATACATGGGGTGTTATGAGCATACCTTCCAGTTCCCTGTGATTCATTTGGTCACTATTATTTGGCATAGCATTTGACGGCTTCATCATATATAAAAGTAATGTTTCAAATCTATTGAAAACAGGAAAAAAGAAGAGGGAAATGAAAGGTGGAAGAGATACTTTAAGCCGCGACGTAGGATACTGTACGTCATGCAGCGACGATCATGCAATGCACGTTGCATGCTACCGCACTTTAAAGAAGAGTGCGTCTGCATAGTTCGTTATTATAAGCAGCTTATGCTACAACTGACTAAAGCTATCACGGACATTAGAAGAAAGTCCATCGGTATCTGTTGTATATTACTCAATAAACCAACTATACGTATGATGTAATAGTTGCACTTCCATGAGTGCATCGGAGTTCCATAGATGCAGAAGGTCGAAACAATTCTAAGGTAGCATGATGGCGTGAAATTGCTGCATAAAGAGAACATAACAACTGGGTGCATGCATAAAAGAATTGCGGCTTCTATATGAGAAGTAAGACAGTGATCAGCAATGTCTCGAGCCATTGAATCTTCATAAGCCTTGATAACATTTATCGAAAAAACCTTGGTTTTTACAAGCTATGATACTGCATGGGTGAGGGCTGCTTTTACTTTCAGCTGTGCCACTGTGAAAATGGCAGACGGTAGCGAGAGTTGATGGCGTCAGGGTGGAATAACTTTGCCGTAGTGACACATTACACGAACGAGAAAAGAACGCCACATAATGTCTTGCCACCTTAAGTGTAGCACTCGGGAACCAAATTCATTGATTTTTTGTTCTTGAATATGTATTCCGTTTGATCTTTTGTGCGTTTGTGAAGGAGAGTACACTGATTTTTACCAGCAAACAGGTGACCAAATCATAGGCTAAGCAGATGAATTTCGCGATATCATAGATCCTTGATAAGCATAACAAATTTTAGCCTACTGTTTTTTTCCAAAATGCCTGAAGTAGATTGTCTTTCGAGCCAAAATCGTTTATTATTTCTTATACCAGCAGCTAGAAGAGCGATCGCAACTCTTATAAGTTTAATTGCATGGATACGACGCTGGAAACATCGCGCAGGCAATGTGAGATCGCATCTTACCAAAACCATAAATTATACGACAATATCCTAAGTTAAATGCAAGCGCCACATATTAACGCTCGATAATTCTGTTGATTGCAATCCATTCTTTATATAGATAATACTTACATGTAATGCACTACTATGACAAGTCTCGGTAAAAGATTATGCAACATTAAACCCTAAGCTCATCGGTGAAGCTTTTGCGGAAGGGGTCGCATTGCTACGCAGATCGATTTGGAATATTTGCACCGGAGGACCAAAGGCTTTTGCCTCCATCGCACATATATTACCCACAAAGCTCAATTGGAATGATGTATCGGAGTTGCTAAATATGATGTGCTACTGCTCGTAAAAAGCTTGCTTGACCCCTGAAAGTAAAGCTTTCGTCTCAACGTGTAGAAAGCCTTAAAGCACCTTTCCATGCCTTTGAATGCATGTTCATGCACTTTAAGGTGCCGCAAATTCATTTAAAGGCGTCCAAATGGGTTAAAAATATCTTACGTTTTGGGATGTTCTCCTCCTCCTCCTCAAACAAGTTGCTCTCAGTGCTTTTATTCTTGCCGTCGATCACTAAAATTTTCTTACCCTTAGATAAGACAGCAGATTAAATTGTAATGGACCCTTTATAACAAGTACCAGTAGCAGTGTAAATGTGTACCATGCAGTAAGGACCCAAAAATTTATGGCTTGCGTCAAATGCGAGCCGAATACAACGGCCCAGCCATAACCGCTGTTAGAAATCTCCTCAAAAGCCTTCGCTCCCTGCTCAACGCCAATACTGGATGTTGTACTGCAAATTCGAATGGTCTTCACTAATATTTCGGCTGTCGTAACAATTTTTTCTATCATAGTAGCATTTCTGTTCATTTTAAGCCATATACATGAAAAAATGAAAATGGTGTATACTGCGACACTTACCGGTTTGAAAAGTTATTGATACTGGAGAATCATCTCTGTGATTATGTTTCCCTTCGTGATAAGTGAATTGAAATTTTATGATGTCATAACCGGAGACTGTTTTTTATGTAGTGTACTAGTATATATAACGAATCTGATAGTACAAGCTTGGAAAGAGGAAGAAAACTGAATCTAATTAATTGACGATGGTTTCGTGTGTGAGGAGGTTTGTTACGACGGAGTAGATCCAATGGGTATGTTCTGCACCATTGACGAACTTTATTGATATTTTTGTGGTCCTAGTAGATTGCTATTTTTAGTTGAATTACACTGAATGTTCACATGAAAATTACATAAAGTATGTACCTCAAAATAATCGCAACTCGGTACCACGTTTCATCAAATATTGATGCTAGACAACAGATGATACAGAAAACTGCATGCGGTAGCTTGCGTTTTTGACATTCGACAGTGTGGACATGTGCAATCATTGTGCCCAGAACCGTATTATTGCTCAAATCATCCATAACTGTTTCGAATATCAGACACTTGTATCCGGTCTGTCGGGCGGTGTCTGTTTTGAAAGAAGAAAAGCGTGTATCTCGTGCCATCGCGGGTTGCACGTAAATGTGACGAAAGATCAGGTCCTCCAAAGCGCGGCACGATACGCATGGCTTCATAATAGAGCTGTTGCATATGCCGCCGGCCACCGGTGAAAGACGATGGCAAAATAACACGTCTACCGGCGTTGACCAAAATATTGTCTTTCAGTATCATGGAATCCACAACACTATTGCACAAATGAGAGCGTAGGTTGACCTGGTTCTAAGCGATGTAGCCAAGGCGTTCGGATTCCATCTTGGTATACATATCAGTAATAAACTGTTGAAACAGCTTACCGAGGCGATGCAAATTGTGTCTATTGTCGTCGTCACCGTTCTCGCGCACCATCAGCCGATGATTAAACCATTCCATAGCTGTTATATGATCATCATAGTCATTTCGCGCTTCGACGGTCCAACCCTCATCACCTGAAATTGTGTAAGTTAGAATTACGCAATACAGCAGACGATTAGGACATAAACGCTAATATTACCTTGAGGAAAAATCGATATCATACATAATGCATGGCGTCATAGATACGATGAAATATGTAGTTTTACAGCATATGAGAGAGAAATATACGAAACATGAGATTCAAGAACTAATATGTTTAAAATTCCAGGAACATGCCATAATGGCGGACAGGGTAAAGTACAAGCAGCAGATGTGTGTCGGTTAAATATCTATGAGCTTTTACACTCCCGCAGCTTGTTCTTCATTTATGACAGTTATCCATATATATACGATAATGGATGACGGAAGTTGTCAATTTCAGCATCAACATACATCACAGCCATTAGTAGTAAGCGAAAGATAAGGCTGAATGTAGATTACCTCGTATATAATACCTCGGTATATAATGAGATAACTTCAGGTGCCGTATGTGTGTCGAATGTGTAGTACGATGAAGATGATGTCATACGTATAACTTGTAGTGGCTTTTAAGAAAGAAGAGATTGCGGATGATCAGCACAGACTTTATTATCTCAATCCTACAATAAGCATAGCGTCGACAATAAGGAGGGAAAAGGTGCTCTTAATAAAACATATCTCCTTCCGAGTTCAAAAAGCGTATGGAAATTTATTGTACTCTCCTTTTACACGACTATTGCAATCCAAATTTATATTATCGGAACAGGCGAGACCGGTTTTTACGCGATGAAGAAGATGTCAAGGAATGGTGCGTAATTTGCTCTAGATTGCAGAATGACCCGATTTGTAACTGTTCGTTTATATTCAAGCACGTATGTTGTAAAAGTGCATTGGTTTACAAATGTAATATATCATTGAGAATCGTCGAACTTAGGTTACTGAATGTAGAACAATGTTTTTTTGTCGTCTTGTTGCTTTTTAAAGATATAAACCCATTATTATATGCCAAGAACCATTGCATTCCCAAGGGTAGATGTATATCGTTTATGAGCAAAAGGTAATACTATTTTGTTGCTGTAAGTGACGGAAGATTCCGAAGACGATGGCATGTGGAGAGATTATTAGGGAGACAGCAGTTATAACATTTTGCTCGCGATGGGTATATATTATGACAGCAAGTAGTAGTGTGTCATACTAATTTATGAAGACGTACCGAGCTTGAATGTCACTACACAAGCAGTTTATACACATAAGGAGAAGATAGATGCCGGTAATGTCGATCAAGTGTGCAGCTGCTGCTTTCCAAACTGTATATCATTATTGAATTTCAAAAAAAAAGCGCACAACAGTACCCCGAGCGACCCACTCTTTAAGCGAGTAAATAGGAGTATCGTACAGACAACTCTGGATCACGGATGATGATTCCAGGAATAGAAAACTGATCTACTTTAAGACTGTTCTTGCTCTAGCCTCTTCCGCAACAGCAACAGCCAGCGACGATCATTCTTGTCAAATAATCATTTCTTAGAAATAACCGGCAGTGGCGAACGGTGGCAAACGGAGAAAAAGCCGACGTCCGATCCTAATTAGCGTCGCATTATTCTTTGAAAAATGCTCGCTATCACAGGCAGATCAACCAGGCTCAGCTTGGAAAATACATATATCGCGATACACTGATAGCTCTAGTACAACAACTGATCGTTGGAAGTGTATCGAGTTAAATGAGTGGTTTGTGCACTCTTTCCCGCTCTCGCCTTTTTCTATTCTACGCTGCATATGCATGGTACCTGCTTTTTCTTTGCGAATAATTATATGGTGCTTGCTTACATATGATGAACTTCATTACACGCAAGAAGGAACCAAAAACTATGCCTTGCTACCTGCCTGGTTACGACTAGTCTTCGTGGCAACGCATTCCTATGACAACCACAGGGGTTTGTGTCATAATAATTGAAGTATCATTTTCGTCAAAAGAAAAATAGTCAGCACATGCAAAGGTACAATGTCTTTCTCGGTGAGGGTGATGATGGTAGTAATAAGACGGTAGCACGTGTAATCTCATTGTTTCTCTAGGAAGAATCAAAAGGTTAAAGGAGCAGCCACACTGAACGTGCATATGCTAATGATGTACTTGAGAAGACGGAGAGAGAAAACATTACCCACTTTTTTTTAAACAAGATCCATCAATTTTAAGAAACTATAGTGTGATGCAGGGGTAAAATAGAGAAAAAGAGAAAAGGAGTAGAAAGGGAAAAGAAGAAGCTATTTGCGTCAATGGTTTACATTTGCCACTAAACAATGTTAGTCGTGGACACAATAGAGGCACACCGCACAATGGAGAGAGTGCCTGAGCTGGAGGCATCATTATATGGCTGCACGGTAGGCATCAGCAGACGTTATGTTTTGATCTGTTGTGAATGTAGTATCTATTTTTGTATTGCTGCTACACATAACTATACTCGTCGTATAGCCCGGAATATGTGGAAAGCTGTTAGTGTTCTTTTGAAAGAACAAAAGAGACAAAGAAGAACAGCGCGGATGAAACACTTGGGATGAGCTACAAAATTTTACTTTACTTGCAGCAGATTGACCTCGGCCGTAAGTTAATTGATTGAGGCGATGTATGGTTTCAGTCAATAACAGGAGCTTGGCTTCGGACGGGGGAGAGAGGATCCGGTTTTCCCGAATACTATGATGTTGGTTTTCCACATTTGTCAATCGGTCTCGCGTGGCTAGACGTTGCATATAACGATAGCAGGAGACATCAACAAATGTCCAAAACGGCTCTTCTTCTTCTCGTTGTATACATTCTTTTTTTCTTCGATAATAACGATAATATAGTCCGACGAAGCAATTTGCTTGAAATAGCAAAAAAACGACGCTATTTAACAATAACACCAATTTAATAACGACGACGAAGACGACGAATATTCCACACACGCCGTTCCAGCTCGCCGGACGACAAACGGTATTAATAGCATGCCGCCACGCCATGAGCTACGACGTAGTACGACTGGCCTACTTAATCGGATACGACGCAACGTGCGCAAAGTACTGTCCCTCCCCAGACGTAATAATATCGATAACAGTAATAATGCCGATGGCGGTACCACCACGACCAACAGCAGTAAGAAAAAGGCGCGCGACTGGCGCACCTTATCCCCAGAATTCCCACCACTGCCGGCATTGGACTCCTTACCACCAACAACGATGACAACCACTACGAACGGCGACGTTAATAGAAGCAATAATTCCTTAGGTGCGGGGCACTTGACATCTTTGACAGACGAGGTGCGTATGAAAGAAAGTGATGCGAGATCTCTTATAAATTTCCACACATTTTTGTCATTCTTCTTCGGGGCAGCATAAGGCAAAGAAGAAGAAGAAGCATTGCTATGCAGCTTTTGTGTTATCTTTTGTTGTGCCCCATAGCATACACAGCAACCTACCTTAACTGGAACTCTGCTTGGACCAACACGGTTGTGCATATCTGTATGCAAATTCATCAACTGCAGGCCGGGCTGGAGGAATAGCACTGGGTAGCTGTGTATAGGATGTTTCTTGATATTCCACGCGTCTTGCCCTCTCTCTCTTTTTTCTTCTTCTTCTTATCCTCCCCCCATAACATCACCTTTATTACCATCACCACCGTATATTTTCCTCCCCTATTTTCTTTGTTTCTGCTCTAAGAGTTTTATGCCGAGTCTCACGCCACTTTTACTATTAATCCAAGCATCTTACAGTAGCTAATTTAACTCTCTTCTTTTTCTCTCTATCTATTCATTTAACAGCTTAGCACGGCTACCTTTGCTTTTTCACATTACCGCCAAACACCTTCTGGCGCAGTTGACGGACGGCATCTCTACACGATACCCGAAGAAGGAGAAACAATGGCGACGCAGATACGTAATTCGAACGAACAGTACCCGCCGCCATCCAGTGTTCGAGTTTCAGACGCTTCCTCTTCTTCTTCACCATCCTCCTCCTCAATTTCATCGAGCGCCTCGACTGTATATTACCGGCCTCCCACAGCTTGGTTTACTGAAACGCCCGACGCACCGCATGACGACGCACTTATCGGCGACGAAGTCCGATGTCAACTCAAGCTTGCCCGTATCGTTAGTGCTGCTTCTAAACAACAAAGACTCGAGCAGAATGCGCGAACGGAAATCTTATTCGATGATCATGATAACGTACGCTCCATACGAATCATCACGCGGCACGCATATGACAATAACAAAATCAGTGACGAATATTGGCGCTTTAGCGGGTAAGTTAAGACCACTTATAGTTATTTACGCTGAAAAGAAAAACAAACATCCAAGTTTTGACATTGTCGAAGCGACGTCTTTTAAGCATTTTATTTTTGCCTTGTATAACTAACACAGCTACTTTGTATCTATTTTTCAGGAACTCACAATATCTTCCTCCCGAGCTTTCAGGTGGAGTCTATAATCAAGGCTTAGCAGATGTGTGGATCATGGGGGTCATCCTGTACAGAATGCTTGTTGGAAAACATCCTTTTACTGCTCCCAATGACCGCAAACTCTTTAGTAAGATGCTGCATGGAGATTTCAGCATTCCTCATCAACTGTCGGATGGTATGTAGCTTCACGTGCATTTAGGTTCTCATCCCAAAGCAGAAGAAAACTGACCTCGAAAAAAAAAATCCCTGTACTTTGTAATAGATGCAAAAGACTTACTTCGACGCATGTTAGCTCCGGGTAATGCGCGTGCATCGCTCGATCTCGTATTGTTTCATCCCTGGCTCAAACCGTGCTCATCCATCATGCTCGCCAATAACGACCCTACTTCATCCTCCTCTGTAATAGCACCACAGCAATTATCATCAGCATCAGCAATTTTAGCAACAGCAGAAGCAGAGGCGGCTAACCCTAGCTGTAGCAATACCGGTGTCACTGCTACTGATACTACTTTTCCTGCTATACAACCGGCTGTTGATCCAGCACCTAATGTTACTACTACTGGATCTATAAAATCTCGAGCCTCAACATCACATTCAAAAACGCAAGTCCACGTCAAACGGAAAAGCCGACGACGGCGGATCAGCAAATCTATTATGCGTATATTTTACTTTTTGGCAAAGGGGCCATATCCGCCCCCAAAACAGCCATATCGAGAGCTGGCTCTTCTCGGTCGAGTACATCCTACACCACCAACATCAACAACTGTATAATGTGCATATTCTTTTTTTTTCTTTTACTCGGGACGTAACAATTCCTCTACAATACCCCCAAAAAAATTAATAGTCGCTCCTTCCCATTCCACTCGTTTTTCACTCTCATATATTAGTATTTAGAAAATATTCTCTTCTTTTTTTGTATATGAAAACTCATAAAAATAATATACACTTTGTATTTATCACACTCCCTATACACATCTATAATTTTGCCGCCTTTTCGAATGGTCTATACAAAATATGTATGTATATAAGACCACTGTCATAGCATAGCATGCATTGGGATCAACCCGAAAGCATCACCTACATTCATCAACCATACTATTGCATATAAGCTAGTTTTCCCGAACAGATCCATGCTACAAACTAGAGCCTCTAAAAGATTAAAATTCTCGGTGTATCTGTGTTTATCGTGATTTCGCGCCGTAATTATGTTGCTTTTTATTTAGTAGCTTGGCTTGACAATATCATCGTCGTGGATGACGGCTTTTCGACTCTCTTTCTCACTTCATACGTCAGTCATCCTCATAAAATAAGGGATACTTATGTCTGTGCAGTTAGGAGCAAAACTTGCTCATATTTTTCTTGTATATTCGATCTACTGGCACAAGATACGTTATAATTGTATGTGACATTATGCAGTATTAGCATTAGAATATCAGGTCTTCTGAAGAGAAGTTCTACAGCATCTCATAAGTACAGGCAACCTGTATTTGGTGCAGACAACATACGGACTTGAAATATCCCTTGAAAGAAGATAAGACATATCATGTATATGAGTAACTACCGATTCAAAAGAGATGTTCGCAATCCTCCATCACTGCTCGCATCCCCCAGGGTGAATCACTTTTAAGCGTTTGCTGCTGCTGCAATTGAACTTGGTATGCACATATGATATACACAATTCATCCGATGGGCACCGCTGTTTGTTGAGATGATCGCTAATCATGCTACTTCTTTATTCTGCAGAATTGAACATATATAAGTCTATCATACAAAACGGCAGTAATCTGTCAACGGAAAGTAATTTTAGGATATTATGGGGAGCTAATTATCAAATGTCGATCTTACTAATAAGAACCACCAAAGGAGCCTGTATCGTATCGACCTAATTTAAAAAGATGTGATAATGCAGTATTGTATGGTATCGAATTGATATGCCGTTAAAATTATTGTGCGCCGCTCCAAGGCCCCTCAGAGGCATTAAAGAACCTACTTACAATTTCCGACGATCACCCTTCATAAAAAAGAGAAACCCTTTCTTCAACCCGGCTAATGAATACTAGCCCTCCAGACCGTCAAAAAAACGGGCGATCGCGCGAGCGAAATTTAAATTTACTAAAATATTATGGCATTGGTGCATCTAAAGCAGAAGCACGTCGACCTCTTGACATTGGTAGAGTGAATCGAAAGCAGTTACATGGGAGATGGTTCGCGGGTGTAGTCAGTGTTTGTAGAGAACCTAACCCGTAACGAAACCTTTCTTGTATATCTTGCCTCAATTAGACGGCGGTACATTTGAACCGAACAAGTACTTTGCTCGCTTGGTAAAGGAAAAAACGCTCAATGGCCTAGTCAAAAAAGATAATGAGCTCGTCACTGGTATGTTAAAGTTTTCTCATCTCGACCCCCTTTGACGGTTGGGTTGCTTTGTTAAAGAAGATTGAAGTATGCTAAAGTCAAGGGCCTGGTTGCACTAGAAATACGCGAAATTGACGGTGACATGAAAACGTTGGTATACGAGAATTATAGCAAGTTCATTAGTGCAACAGACACGATTCGAAAGGTTCGCATTGAGCTCTGGTCGCGCTCACTTGAAACAAAGCTGTGTACCTCAATCGTTTGCTTAACACATGATCAAAAAACTTTTAGATGAAATCGAACGTCGAAAGCATGGAATCGGAAATGGCCAATCTCAACAACAATATGAACGGCATTTCGCAACAGTGTACCGAGATTATCGACGCGCTTGGTCCCAATCGCGATAAAATACGGCGCTTAACGAACGTACATAATTTGTTGAAACGACTGCAATTTATTTTCGACTTACCGAACCGCCTGAATCGATGTTTGTCAAACGGCCAGTACGCCCATGCCGTCAAATATTACTCTCGAGCAACGCGACTGCTTAACCACTATCAGCACTTGTCTGCATTCAAGGGTATTGAGCGCGACTGTGATGTGATTATGGGTAAAATAAAGGGCAAAATATGGGAAGACGCACGAAATTCGGAAAGTCCGTTGGACAAGGTTACCGCAAGCATGAAGCTTTTACGCGTTTTGCAAGAAGATCCCAGGAAGCTATGGAAAGAGTACATTCAAGTGTAAGTAAGCAAAACGGAAAAGGAAAATAAACGCAATAGAGATTCATTGTCATTGTAGCCAGGTAGCGCGGCTTGACAACACAACAGATCAGCAATTTGATACAATCGAAGACCTTGACAGCAAATGCCTTGTGCTACTCAATAGCACTGTTGAATGTTTCGAGACATTATTTTTAACTGCTTCAACAAACGATGAAGATGCCGAAAAAGTGAATACTTTGAGTGACAAAGTAAGTTTGTGATACGCTAAACACAGGCTCTGCTATGCATATGCTAAGTTTGAATGCAGGACAAACGAGACGCCAAGAACGACCTAGTACAAGCCATGTCGTCTCATGTAGACAGATTCTTTGACAAAGTCTCTGGATTTATTAGCTTACCGGTGAGTATTGAAAAGAGAGAAAAAGCATCTGGAAGCGAAAGTTCCTGCTAACTATTCTTCATTTTCTTAAAAAAACCAATGACGCGTTTCAAGAGTGCCATGAATAGAGATCAATTATTAGCACAAATCCGTGTTTTGAGCGACTTGCGTGAATCGATATTGGCACATGGACAAGCATTAGCAAGGGTCATGGGCACAGCGGAGAGAATGACTAAATTGACAGCTCATTGGGAAGGCACGTTGATCGATGGATTGATGGACACCACCACTGAAAAAATGAAAGGTACATATCGCCAGATCTTATCCACGAGGCAAGAATGCTAAAAAAAGGTTGTAGAGCGTCTGAGCCGATTAAACGAATTTAATCTCAACTCATTGCAAGGAATCACGGACCACAAAGAAGCATTGAGTGAATTCATCGTTGAAACAGATACATGGCTGGTGCAACACATTCAAAACAGCTGTCTCGATCCTCTTCGCGACTTGATGGCTATTGCTACTACCGCTACCGACGATGGTCAGTCTGATATTTCTTTGCGCGTTCGAGAAAGCCTTCGCAAAATGTGGAACGGCGTACTCGAAATTATTGCTGTATGTTTTCCTATTTCGCACTTTGGAGCTGTGCATACGTCTACAGTATTGTTTGAACTGGCTTGCTTATTTTTTCGAAATTCTAGGGCGCAGATGGGAGTGATAAGTCTAGTCCAATGCTGATCGTTGGTTCTCGTCTATGCTACGATCTGGCAGACCAGGGAATTCCGCAAATATATGCCAGTGTCTCGAAGGAATTAAGCAAGGACAACGGCGAACTTGACCAGATCATTACCGCCGATGCCCAGGAGGTGGCGGATCGTTTCTCGCGCAAGGGCCAAAGCTTACTCAACGAAGAAACAATGCAAGAAGGGTACACATTTTCCTCCTCCATTGAAAAAGAGTATTTGCGTCCACATCGAGGAACAGAAGCACCCAAGGGCGTATCTAATGTGTGGCAAACCATGTTTGAACGCGTACACTACATTGAACAGCTGGTGGAGACGGTGTATTCACAAGCAACGTCTCCAGACGGAGCTGCTGAGACATCTGACACTGAATACGAATATCGTTTTGGCGCTGGCACACCTGGCGAAGGATTATATACCCGACCAACGCAATCCTCGCACAGCCTTACTACAGCATCATCCGAAACGCCCGGCGAGCCCTCTGGATTAGGCATCATGCCCAAGTTTGGGTACGATATGACGGTCAATATCATGAGCAACATCGACAAGCTTTTTGCAGATCGCATCGATATTTACCGACATGTGGAACCGACTCCGCTTGGTGTGTGCACCGGGTTACTGCGAATCTTACTCAAAGCCTTCCATGAGACTGTCCGACAAATGCGACTACAACAGTTTGACTATCAGCAACTGCAAGTGGATTCAGAGTACCTTCGCCTGATGTTATGGCCTTACACTCAAAAGGAAAAGTAAGTCGTGTAATGCATATACGGAAGCTTTATAACGCGCCTCTTTAAACATCGCTAATTGATATTGCATAGTAAATGGATGAGCAACATGCTTCAGGAGATAGTCTCTAGCGCTTACATGCGGTGCGAATCACCGACGCCGATGGATCCTGAAGTACGTAGACTTTATATGGGCCTCAACCCTCTGTTTGAGACAATATCATGTTACTGACTGACTAGCTGATGCTTTCAATAGGAATTAGAAACAATTCTTTCAAAGTACATCCCTACTAGTAACTAGATCAATACCACCTTTTATAATAAATTTGTATACACAGCCTATGCGCCACCACCCTTTTCTTTAACATCTGCACTAAAGATATTGCTATTTACTTGAACTTCTGCAGACGACCAAAAAAGGATACTGTACCAGATCCCCATGGTCTGTCTAAATATAGACAAAAACATTTGCATTGACGGAAACTATGGATTTCTTAGAGGGACGTAAGCTCTAATATGTGACACAGTACTGATAACTTGGGCTACATGGCACAAAAAAGTGCACATAGCTTATTCATTGCACGCTGTTCATGTTTCACCAATCGGCCGTGTCTAGTGCTAGACGGAGAGAGAGAAAGGGTTTTGTATCCACTAGCACATTCGGTTGATCAATTTTAAGGATGATACTATTTTGGGACAAGTCGCCCTGCTTTTGATCCAGGCCTTTTCTCTTATTCCCTTGGCCCCGCTCCCTTTTACACCTCTTCTCTCTCTCTCTCCCCCTCTCCTTCAACTTTTCCTTCATTTCAATACAATCATGATTAAGAACCTCGGAAAACTAAAACAGGTAAGACGGATCTCTCACATTGCAGTTGACAGTTCAGCTGGGGTTTTTGTTTGGGCAATGGGATGATGGGAGGAGGTGTTCTGTCGGATGGCAAATTCCACTTTACGTGTTTATGCAAAATAAAAGGAAAACTTAAAGTGCCATCTCGCCCATTAGTGGACGGGCGAACGTCTAGGAGCAGCAAAGTCTACGCTACAGACAGAAGACTTTCAACGGCTTGAAGCCGACACGGAACGCAAGCGTACCGGGTTTGAAAGAGTGTATTCCGCGTCCGAGTTGACATACAGCCAATTATCCAAGAAAAAACTGTCACCGGAAGACGGCAAGACCAAAGTGTACCCATGTGATGCCTTGGGCTCTTGCTTGATGAATCATGGTGGGGCTTTTACGGAGGATTCTCCTCTAGGTAAGATTTCAGGGTCTTTGAGAGACATCCCACGCGCACCTATCTGTAGTAGTTAGACTCCCATGATTGTAGAATGCATCGTGAATTAATATTGGGAGAAACCGTATTCCATTTTGGAAAAAAAAGGGGCTGCATTGGTGAGCTTTGGCCAAGCCGAATCCAGAATTGCCGTTTTGCAAGAAGACTTTTCTTGCGTGCTAAAGGAAGATTATATGAGTACCTTGGAAGCTGGATTGCAGGAGTACAAGGAATATCAGGCCCTCAAGAAAAAGCTGGAATCAAGGCGTCTCGATTATGACTCCAAGCTGGGCCGATTGCAAAAAGCGAAGAAGGAGAAACCAGAACTCGAGCAGGAAATGCAGGCATCCAAGCTCAAATACGAGGAGACTGAGTACGATCTTATTCAGAAAATGGTTTATTTGCAAGAATTTGAGGTATGTCATGTAGGTGCCTGCACGGTGTTGCTGTTTATAGCTCAGCGATAATTGATCCAAAGATGAAAACCAACAAATGGATGTAGGATACACACTATGAGACATTACGCCGACTACTAGAAGCACAATACATGTACTATAGCCGAGCCGCAGAACTGCTGGACGGTATGCGAGCTAATTGGGGTCAGGGCGGTAACCCCATGGCAAGACCAGTTACACGCAGCGCTACTACATTCAGTAGCAGCACAGTCAGTACCCCTCGATCCTTTAATAATAACAGTAACAGTAATATGAATGGCGGTGCTGGCGGCGACGACTACTTTGCGTATTCCGAATCGCCCGATACCCAAACACCCGCACGATCGCCAGGAAGTGCTCTATCGTCTATACAGCGCAGACTCAGCACGCGACAGGGTAGCGCTGACAGCTTGAACGTACATCCGGCCGGTCCGAGACGGGTCTCGAGTTCTACTTCGATTCGCAGCAGTACGAGCGAAAGATCAGCCTCTACTCGACAACCTCCACCTATGCCTCGACGCAATCAACAAGGTATGATGATGGTGCTAAAAGATCCGTTTTCGGACTATTTGTTTTGAGATGGGTCTTCTCGTTGAAGCTTACCCCTGATAACCCATTGAATATGTGTTCATAGCAACCACCAAACGTCGCAAGGCAATGTATGACTTTGAAGGAGAGAGCATTGAAGAACTTTCATTCCGCGCAGGGGATGTCATTACGGTTGTGGAGGAAGTGGATGAAGGATGGTGGCTTGGAGAAGTAGAGCACTTTGGACCCAAACGACGAGGCATCTTTCCTGTCAACTACACAGAAGACATTGTGGGCAACAGCAACAACCGCTCACCACCCATGCCAGCACGCCCATCGATACCCCCCGCAGCATCCATTCAAGAGCAGCCAGACGAAGAGGATGAGCCAATGTATTCTCGGGCGGTTGAGAACGACTCGCCTTTCAGTGACCATGCAATGACAGGAGCAGCAGCAGCAGCATCTGTACCCAGTACGCCTGCATATGAACAACCAAGACCCTTTGCCACACGTTCAAACTCAGCAAGCACGATGAGTTCACCACCACCGGCATCTCGGAGCACCACGTATGTTCCACTCGACACCAAGCCAATGACCCCACCCAGCGCTGCGACAGCATCCACACGAACGCCACCTCCTCCACCTGCGTCCCGCATGTCGCCAAGCGTATCTACCTCGTCATCGACAAGAACTCCACCACCGCCCCCACAAGCCCATGCACGCGCGTTAGCAAGTGTCACTCCTGCTGGTCTCGTGCAGCAGCATGACAACGAACCGCCGTGCCAAGAGTGTGGATGTACAGATTTCAGTGCCAATGTATTTAAAAAGGGACACTGCAAGACTTGTTTCCATAAGCATCAATAAAAGTTTATCATTATTACTACTATTACTATTATTATGATTGCTATTGTCAAGGAAAAGAAGTAATCTCTTTTTCTTGTCGATGATGGGGTGGGGATGCTTTTTGTTTTGCAAAAAAAAACAAACATTATTAATTTACAAAAATATTATACAGCGGGATACACCAAAGAGGTTTGTGTTGGTGAGACCAATAATATATATGATATATGAAATATTTCGTTTAGACAAGTCTCAGTATCTCGGAATGTGTCTATCGGCCAACGGTCGAGGAGCTCGGAAGGACGTTGATCTTAAGGGTGGCGACTGTGCCCGTAGAGAACCGTAGGGCGGTGGCATGCGACGGTGCTAGAGAACAAAAAAACAAAAAGAACAAACGAGAGTGTATCAGCAGGACTGTGGGCAGGTGGTAAAGCGAGGGCATAAGAACATTACCGCATAAGGCATGGACGACGGAGACGACGAGGGTGGAAACGGTGGTGCAGATAGCGGGGTATTATTATACAGTCGGCTGCCGCCATAGCCTCTGCCATAGTACCGAGACGACGGTGGGGGCGATATCCTTCGATACGGTGCATATCGCTGTGGAGGGAATCGGTGATGGTGGTCAGAGGAGAGTGGCGGTGGTCGAGACAAATGAGACGGACGGGTGGGTGAGAAGCAAGAAGATGGCGAGGAAAATTGTAGGGGTGGTGGTGGTGTTCGAGTACGACCATTGCTACATGATCGAAGTCGCTCTCGGGATTTCGGTGGCTCTGCTTGGACATCTTGTTTAACGCTCGGTGGTGATGCTGCTGGTGTTGGAAGTTGAGCCTGTGTTTGTTCTTGCGTTGGCTTTTGCACAGAAGGAGAAGGAGGAGTAGGAGTGGGACCAGGAGCAGCGGTGGCGGTAACGGTAACTGCAGCGGCAGTGTTTGCGGCAGCAGCAGCAGCAGCAGGAGGAGGAGGTGAAGGAGTTGCCGGATTGGCGAGTAGATTCCTCATGAGTTGAAAGAGCTCATGTTTCTCTTGTTGTAATGCTTGTATTTTTTGTCGAATGACCTTTTCGTCCAGGGTGTCCAGACTCGCAGATGACGAAGGAGTGCCAGCTCCACCCGTTAATTCGAGCAAGGCGTTGGTGGCAAGCTCGTTGTTGGGTTGTTGGTGTGGTAGCAGTTCTTCTTCTCCGGGTCGCTTAAACGGTTCGTAGTGGCAAGCTTCAACGGGTGGTGAGGGAAGGCCGCTGTCAGTTGTTGTGGTTACGGCAAGAGTAGGACGCGTCTTGTTCTTAAACTCCTCCTCGTTCTTCTTGTGCTTTTCACGTTGCTCTTTGATTTTGCGTGCGATGGAACATCGAATGGCGTTAAGGTTGGCAGGTGGTTGGAACTCGTACATGAACTTTGGTGAAAGGACCAAGGGAGATAAAAAGAGGGTAAATAAAAGTGGAGAGAAGAGTGAAAGAAAGAAGGAGAGAAGGGAAAGCGAGAGAAGGAAAAAAAGAAAGAAAAAGAGGCGAGGGGAGGGGAGAGAGGTGGAGCAGCCCAAACGACCTTGTTCGTGTAGCCAGCCTCTGGTCGCTCTCTTCTCAAAATGGTTTGGCACCTTACTTTTCCTACACAGTTGCCCATGTAGTGCCATCGGAGCTTGCATCTCGATGTTTGTTGTGGCACGTTACACCAGCGTTCGATATGGGTTGGCTACATACAACACAGGACGCGCTCTCCCTTCCACTCGTTGGGTGCTTCGCAGGCATGAGCAGCAACGCACGCATGCACACTGCATCTTTCTCAAAGAGCTTTCAGAGACGGAGGTCGCTCTTTGGCAGGATGTGCCGCGTATGCAGGTCTGCTGCTAAGCCAAAACAAAGAAAAAGACACTTGGCCTGTTTGGACGCCCTTTCCGTTCGTGTTCCAAACAATTCTTGACCTGTTATTACGCACTAGGTTTAGAACCACACTTGTTTGAGAGAACAAAAGGAGGGGCGAGTGAAAAAAAAAGTCAAAAATGCTAAAAAAAAAGTTTCGATCGTCGCTGTTTCTTTAGCGTATAAGGTACGAATAGGCCGCTCTGTACGTTGCTAGCTCAGATATGCAGGCACTCCCCCCCCTCACCTTCCAGGGCAGTTGAGGCGTAACTGCATCGTGTGAAATGACACCTGGGTCGCTTCGGCAGGTCAGTGGGGGGGAAAAGCAACTTTTATGCTTTAGAGGTGTCGCTAAATTCATCCATCCATCCATAGCGAGCCCAAGTTCACATACATAGAGCCGTCTTTCTCGTGGCGAACCGCAACAAACTCCTGCATTTTTACATGGCCAGTGAAAAGGAATGACCCATGTACATAGTGTTGTGTTGCCTATTCCGAGTAAAAATAATCGATACAGGCAGATCCCCGCCCCAACACTACTATTTGTTTTACTGAAAACGAATGTATTATCACTCAGTACTCTCCGTAGTCATGTTCTACTTCCATTACAGTTGCATACAGTTTCGAATTATAGAAGGCATGACTGTATAAGCAGTTGCCAGAAGTAAATGTTCTTGACATGAAGTTTGCCATTCTTTTCAAGTTGGTAGAGAGGAATGGAACACGGATTGTTGAGATTTATTGTTTGTGTGCTCATCCCACCAGACAACAATTCTCCTTCTTTTACAGAATATACTGGCTTCAATACCGTTCAACTGAGGACAAGTCCAGACGTTAAACAATAACCTCAACAATCAACAAGCTCGAATGAGCCTCGATCAATATCATTTCAATCCATCCCACAACCCAGTTGAGATTACGTTCAAAGTTTTCTTTTTTCTTTTTTAAATTTTTTTTTTTCCATTTCGGCAGACCGCGAAACTCTGGGCATCCATAGAACGGACGCTTGAGTATTAGTAAGTCTACGCATTCATTCTTGACTCTCTCAGGAGCTGCAATATCCATTTGAATTTAACGATACGCACGCAAAAAGAGGCTTATATGTAAAGGTATTTAAAGAAGAAAAAACCGAGCAACGGCTCCTGGTCACTTTGCTTTTATATGTGTGTGTTTTTTTTTTGCGGCAAGTCAAAAAATAAATCATACTGCGCTTAGCAAAGCCTCTCGAAACTTTGTACTGATCCGACTCCGTTAAACTACATCTTTCACCCGTTTGAGAACGGAACTTTGTCGGATTACAATACATTTTAGGAGCTGCGGCAGTACGTAGAACTTTTGTTCTTTATGCTGTTGTATAATTGTATTGAGCCCTTATCTTGACTATGATGATGCGTGATTTCGTTGTAGTTTTTCTGCTAGTGTAGGTTTGGTGTGAATAGTAGCTAAATGATAAAACACTCACAAGCGAAACCCTTCAAATTGTTGGATCTCCACCCTCTGTCGATTGTTATGCATGGATCAATTGGTGGAGAGAAGTGCACATTGTATGTATTGGCAAGATTCAGCAGCTATCATTCTTGCTCGTCCCTATCTAAACTAATATCGGTGATGATACCAAATCAATACTCATCCTTTGCAATTACAAAAGACTTGTGGCAGAATATGCCCAGTGCTGGCGAAGAAAAAAGTATTACGCCGCATCCGGGATGACGCATCTGTATTCTTCATCACACCGCAATATGTGTTCACTGCACCCTGGAAGCCGTTATCATTTCGTAGTTTGATCTATGCTAGCACTTGTCCTCACGTCCTCGTAAAGTACATTGATTACTTCATTGATTGTTAGGATATACGGTTGCTACGCCACGGTTGCTGCGATATAAAACTCAGTGCAGTGCACTCAATTATCTACATCCTCTATAGCTACTGGATAGTTAAAAGAGTACTTTGGATATTTTGTTGGCAGTTTTATCCCCATGTAATGGTAAAGCGTTGTGACACTTTTACTGCTTGCTCGTATGGCAAATATAGGCCCGCTTCTAGGTGGCTTGCGGGCTTGTGGGCGTTCAGGTAGCACAGCTCAACAAAAAGACTCCCGCTCTCGACTTTTTTTTTTCTAAATTCTTGTACATAATTACCATGCCCGGTGTCGAGCTGCCAGAGAACGTCGAATTACTGCGTACTCGTGTCGTTGTTGAACGCGATCGTGTTTTTAGTGTAAATTTGCAGTATATTATTTCTGACAAAAAAAAAGTTTGTTTCTTTTTGACTCATTCATTGTTTGATTTTGATTATATATTATCTGACAGGTCAGCGGCAGCGATTACCCACACCAATATCCCGGTATCAACAATGCCTGGGACGTTGAAGAATTTAAAAAGGTAACTTTTCGCTTAAGGAAGAGAGAACAGAATTCAGGTTACATGGTCATGTTTAAAATGACACTGTATTTCCAACGTACAGAACCTTCGAATCAAGATCAACCGTTTAACGCCTGACAACATTGAATTTGACCTTGTTGGTATTGATGCATCGATCGCCAATGCTTTCCGTCGTATCTTGATTTCAGAGGTAAAAAAGAGGATTCATTATTGCCAAGCAAAGAGGGAAAAAAAGTCTGTCGCTTGTGGAGGAGGTGTATATTAAATGGAAGATTTTGTATATAATATCAGGTGCCCACCATGGCTATTGAAAAAGTCTACGTTATCAACAACACATCGATTATCCACGACGAAGTTTTAGCACATCGTTTGGGTTTGATTCCTATCCTTGCCGATCCACAATTGTTCCATTTCAAGAGTGGTAAGTTTTTCGTTTCCCTATGCCTCAAAATAGTATGTCGCAAGAGAAGCAAATAAATGAATGATATCTTGGTTGTAGACGAAGATGGACCTACCGATTTGAACACCATCGTTTTCAGACTCAAGGTTAAATGTGAAAGCAATCCGAACGCTTCACCCGACGAGACTGATCCTAAAAAGAAATATAACCATAGCCATGGTAGGATGGAATGAAAAAAGAAACCATTATGCGTACACGATTGAGAGGATAGAGAAAAGCTGACAGCACATCTCTGTTTATATTTTCAAAAGTATACTCGGGCGATCTTGTATGGGAACCCAAGGGTTCGCAGGCTGAAAAGTATGCTGATAACCCTATCCGCCCCGTTCAAGACGATATTTTGATTGCAAAGCTTCGACCGGGTCAGGAAATTGACATGGAATTGCATTGTCACAAGGGTATCGGACAGGAACACGCCAAATGGTCTCCTGTAGCAACAGCCTCATATCGATTATTACCCGAAATTACCATCTTAAAGCCGATTACTGGTGACGCTGCATACCGTTTCCAAAAGTGCTTCCCGCCTGGTGTGGTGGATGTCGTCGAGGAGAATGGAGAAAAGGTCGCCAAGGTCGTGAATGCACGTAAAGATACGGTTAGCCGAGAAGTATTGCGACACAAAGAGTTTGAAGACAAGGTCCGATTGACGCGAGTACGAGACCATTTTATCTGTAAGTGCTCTCAAAGAGTCTTAATGGGGAGGGGAGGAGCTCTCTCTCTCTCTTTTTGTTTTGCTAACACGTTTTTGTTTCGAATATAGTCAATGTTGAAACTACCGGTATTATTCCTCCACAAGATCTCTTCCCGTTGGCAATCAACGTACTCATGGAAAAAGTACAAGCCATTAAGCCTTCGCTGGAACGAGTCATGACCCATCAAAGCTAAAAAATATTCACCCTTACATTCTACACACACACACACACTCTCTCTCTCTCTCTCTCTTCTTTTCACACACACTCACAGCACAACACTAACATAACATTTACATATTAAAAAAAAGCACTATAAAATCTGTATTTGCATTTCACTTTCACTACTACATAAGATGGTCCCTCCTGCTTTCATGGTTTGTTTGAGGCCTTGCGTCTGGCTATGACCGCTTCAGCCAAACATTCCAAGACATCCTCCGTCGTATCCCAATCAATGCATGCGTCTGTAATCGATACACCGTACTTGAGTGCCATGGCGCCTTCTGCTGGAACGCTCTGCTTGCCCTCAAACAAATGTGATTCGAGCATAATGCCAGTAATAGCATCTTCACCTTGGGCGATCTGATCCGCGAGTACCTTTGCAACTTTGGGCTGGTTGCGATGGTCCTTGCTCGAGTTACCGTGCGAGCAATCGACCATGATCGACGCAGGCAGTTTGGCTTTTTCCAACTGGGCGCGTGCATCCTTAATGTACTCCTTTTCATAATTGGGACCGCCAGAGCCGCCACGTAGGATGATGTGCGTGTCAGGATTGCCCTCTGTATGGGTGATCGCCGTGACACCTTGGCGAGTGATGCCCAAAAAGTGGTGTGAAACTGCGGCTGCTCGGATCCCGTCGAGGGCAATGTTGAGATTACCATCCGTGCCGTTCTTGAAGCCGATGGGGAACGATGACCCTGAGGCAAGTTCACGGTGCAGTTGCGACTCGGTTGTTCGGGCGCCAATGGCACCCCATGAGATCAGGTCTGCAAGATATTGTGGGGAAATGGTATCAAGGAGTTCGACTGCCACCGGCATGCCCATATTCGTGAGTTCGCAAAGTAGTCCACGGCCAATGCGCAGCCCTTTGTTGATGTTGAAGCTAAGCACACACACACACACACACATTCATCCAAACAATTAGCAACACTCTTTTTTTATTATTTATTTTTGGAAACGAGGGGCTGAAGATTGTTCATGCAGGTTTGTTTTCTTTTTAAATTTACCTTCCGTCAATGTCTGGATCATTGATCAGTCCTTTCCACCCAACAGTCGTACGTGGCTTCTCAAAGTAGGAGCGCATCACAATCACAAGCTCGTCTTTGTAGCGTTTCTTTGCTCCAAGAAGTAGGGCAGCTATTCTTCTATCGGGTTAGAGAATAGACACGTCTCACCCAGGCTGATTTAGGCTTGTATGGCTAATACATTACCATATTCTTTTGCTGCAAGGACATCGTGTATAGAGCAAGGGCCGACAATGACAAGCAATCGATCGTCTTGTTTGTGTAGAACTTTGGAGATCTCCTCTCGTGCACCCACAATGGTTTGCATCGACTTTTCGCTCTATTTGGTTTGTGTGTCTTATTAAGTATATGTTTGCGAGGTTATCAGACTAGACTCAGAGAGAGAGAGAGAGAGCATGGATACGCTTACCACCGGAAACTCTTCAGAGATGAAGTTGGGCGACAAAAGAGCGCTGTATCCTTTAATACGAACATCCACCATGCTTGGATATGGTTTGTATAGAAAATATGAGAGAAAGGGGAAGAAAACGTTTAAAAAAAAGAAAAGGCAAGGACTGCAGATGCTTCTGCTTTATATAAATGAACAGAGAAAAAAAAAGTTGTCAATAGAGAGAGAGAGAGACAGATTGTGAATAACTCTGTATGCATCTCTCTCTCTACGTGACTGAATGCACCAGCCCTTTCTTTTGCCTTGCTTCCCGCCCGTTTGTGTATGGTAGATAGCCTCTCCCCTTCGGAAACACCCCAACCCCTAGTTTCGGGCCCGGCGCTTTCTGTTCTTCTCCTGTTGTCATGATCCCAACACCCGATCTAACACACTTGACCAGCCGAGATTTCGACAATGTCTATGAACCCGCGGGTAAACTTATACTAATGACCACCACGACGACGGACAATGGTGTTTTAGTGTCATTGTTGATTTTTCCTCTATTTTTATTTCGTCTTTTTTTCTAAATTCACCATTAGAGGACACGTTCCTGCTTTTGGACGCGCTTGAACAAGACGAAAAACGGATCCAAACACAACAACCAACAATTTGCCTTGAAATTGGGTAAACTAGTTTACTGTCATTGTGTATACAAAACAAAACCAAAACAAAGGCTAAGACGCGCGCGATCGCCACGTTTAATCAGGTCTGGATCGGGATGCGTAACTACAATGCTAGCCAAGATTGTCGGCGCAAGCAACGCAGGTAAAGTATTTTGTATATGCGTGTATACACAATCAATGGCCGCAGCTTACAGCTATCAAAAAAGAAAAAGAATGCATCCTTAACACAAAGATGTGTTCTCTACAACACAATGGGCAATCATAAAAATAGTGTTCTTTACTACGGATATAAATAACCACGCTTGCCATGCAACGCAACGCACGGGTCGCCATAACAGCGTGCACAGTGTCGAAACTGTTCAAACATCGTTGGTTGAGTCATTATTACCACGGCTTGAGCATGCTGTCGATATTTTATGCTTTAACCCACCCTATGCGGTGACTCCACCTGAAGAAGTAGGAAGCTTTGGCATTGAGGCTGCATGGGCCGGTGGTATTGATGGAAGACAGGTCATTGATGCATTATTACCCTTTATCCCTGTAAGTACTTGTTCTCTCATCTAAGAGCATGCATTGTACTGTCTCTCTCTCTCTCTCTCTATATATATATGTATGATATCACTACTAACTAGTGGAAATGTTTTAATTTAGCAATTGTTGTCACCACAGGGCGTGTTCTACCTCTTGCTTATCAATGAAAACCGACCGGCCGAGGTTGCCGAAATTATGCGTGCTCAGTATGGTATGCAGGCTGAGATCGTGATGGAACGGAGAGCGGGTAGGGAGAGACAATATATCTTGAGAATACAACGTCCTACTTGATGGCAGAAATGACAAACAATACAAAACAATAATGTAAATATCCATGTTAAAATATGCCGGGTCAAAGGAATATATTTCCAAGACATTACACAATGTAGTAACATGTGCAGCGTTATGAATGCGCTATAGAGTTATTCAGTTCGTCAACGATTGATCAAATACATGTAAAACATCCAATTACTTAATTCCACATAGTGTATGTACTGTCATGACTCTAAATGTATACTTTAGCATTCTGCATATCATTAGAGCATAGGAGAGTAAGCTACAGGGCATGTGGCGGCCTCCTTGAATTTTGTCCTAGCACTGCGTTTTAATACCGTACTGCTACTTGCATAGCTCTATATTTAAAAGATGTCAATACTATTGAATTTAGAGTGTGTGTTTTTTATGCATTTAGACGCGGGTGCTAGTAGCTGTTGATAAATTGATGGTTACGGATAACAATAAGATAGTGTAGGATATCTCAACTTGACCATTGTTTGATCTCTAATGTTTAAAACGTATCCGCTGTCTCTCGAGTTCAGGAATTCCCACAAGTCAGGAAATATACGCTAGGATTAATCGAGATTGTGTCAATGATACTAGTCCTGTACAGCGTAGTACTAGTAAGCTTTACTGTACAAAGTGCACAAGAGTAGCACACGAACGTGTTGTTAATAGGAACACAACAAATTGCAAGACACCAATGTTGGTAGCAGAGGGGGGAGAAACGTGTTTCGAGCTCCTCCCAGGAAAACAACCGAAAGAAACACTAGGATATATCTAGAACATACCTTGAGATAAAAATAGCAACAGCCTGAACAAAAAAAGAAGCACTCCAAGCCAACTTGTTTCTGTGTCGCACCAATCCAGAACATTATGTTCTCCTATATATTTCGCTTTTCTCTCATAAAAAATATACACATTTCCAATCACGCAGAACTCTCTCACATAGAGAATCTTTCTACACGGTAAATATAACTAGAAATAGCTATGGTTTTCGAGTTTTCCCCAAAGGTACCGAGTAATACACGTCGGTGCAGTTTTTCGTGTGGCACCATGAGCAAAGCAGCAGCGGGGACAAAAAGATACGTACAGCATATATATATATACACGCAGACACCCTACCACAGAACAATCTTCAAATTGGGGATGATGCTAACCGGGAGAAACACATGTGTTCATTGGTAGGCTGGAAGTAGTCAACACGGTTCCCAAGTTGAAAACTACTGTGGCAAGTGATGATGATGAAATGTGGGATGTGCTGGTGCAGAATCACCATGCATCCTGTCTATTATGTGCATATGTACGCATTCTGTGTGGAGGGGGGGGAGGCCACACCGGAACACCAGTTTTGACAGGTCCTGCTTTATTACCCAGGCTGTGTGGACAACAAGATGAAAAATTGTCTGGTGTTACACCGACGAGCACGATGCATGCATCATGAAATTTTCTTTCATTAATGACCACTCTCGGTGATCCGCTCATATAGAAAAATTAGCGTAAGCAGCTTATATAGTTGTCACGCCACACACACACACACACAAACACTAGATAGTACCAACTGCTTCCGGAAGGGTTACTTTAGTGTGCTTTACAAGCGCTGTAGTAGAAAGCGTCGTGCATTAAATTTCCCATTGGAAAAGAATAGCCACTGAAAACGGACGAAAGCGAGAGAACCCAACCACGAACAAAGAATAGCGGATAATGCATCGGGCTCCTTTGGTTGTACTTGTGATGCCCGCCGTTTATGCTTCTCGACCTGCCGTGTAACTCAAATACACGGTGGTCAATCATCGGAGGTGCTGCTGTTTGGTTAATATGTAGCAGTTATACAGTAATAGCAGCAATACTTGTTGTTGAACACGCGCACGCGTTCCACAGTGACAAGCGAGAGAGAGAGAGAGAGAGAGAGAGAGAGAGAGAGAGAAGCCGCAAGGGCAAGAGGCGAAGCACGAGGGAGGAAAAGACGGCGCACGGGCAGTTTTTGGGCTTGGTAGTATACATCATGTATAACCAAAACCATTTACGATATCAGTCCAGATCTCCGCTCGCTTACCGTTTACAAACAGCAAACACCTTCCTTGTAATCGATCAAACATGCGAGCGCAAAAAAAATAAAGGGGTCAAGTGCACTATGCATATGCTAGTAGTTCTCCTCCACTCGGAACCTTATCACCTACCTACCTACCTACTCGTTTTATCTCTAAGCGACAATGTACTACTGTGTCTCTAGAGGAACGAGCCTGGCAACAGCACCAACAGGTATGGCTGCCATCAGTGGAAGGTGTATATTTATAGTTTGGAACCGAAGTTAAGGAAAATCAGCGTCAATTCTTTCCCTTTGGAACCATTAGCAGCAGCAGCAGCAGCAAAAGAAGAAGCATCGGAGCGATACACACGTGCAATTCTTCTGGTCGATGGGTCGTCACAGACATGGAGCCTCCAACCAATGCACTTTTATCATTGGAAAAAAGGCGGCCAATCGGCCTGTGATAGATTAGATAAAGTGATGGAGAAAGGAGGTTTAGTCGGGGACAACTGGAGGACCTCTGATCATACAGCAGCAAAGACGGATGCAGGAGTGGGGTGGGGCTGCATTCGACCTTCTTTTTCCATGCAACCCGCGCTTGTCGGTCCCAAGAGTACGATGTAGCCCCTATGCACTTGTACAAGGTCTTTTTTTTCGATGGGCCACATTGTAGTTTTCGCCACAAAGCAAAGACAACCCATCACGCACCAAATAAAACAAACTATTTAATCCCGCACTAATTGCGAGTGTTACACATGAGGCGTGCGATGATGGCCTTGATTTTGTGGGGGGTTGGAAGAGAGAGCGGGGGCTGGAAAGAGGGAGAGTGGGGGGAGGGGGAAATGTGCCCGATAAGCGATCTATTTTTACTCTATTTCCCTACCCCCCCCCCCATCCGCGGAAGCGATCCAGAAGCACAAACCGCGCTATACTCCGCGGAGGGAATGGCTTTGACATGATCCGAAAAGACAGCTCTAGCACAAGTGCCCCAATCTATAAAAGGCACTAGGCCCCACTATTTCCGTTGCTTCTTCTCCCTTTCTTCTTGCTTCAAACTTACTCATCATGTGCGGCATCTTTGGGTAAGCTCATCTCTCTCTCTCTCTCCCCTCTCCCTTGCATCATCTAGCTCGCAGCCATCAGCTTCATCATCATCATCTCTTGATTCAATCTCAGGTTGGACTGACATTGGGGCTATTCTTTTTTTTTGTTTTTAGTTACCTCAACTACCTCGTCGAAAGAGACAGACGCTTCATCTTGGACACACTCACCAACGGTTTGTCCCGTCTCGAATACAGAGGCTACGACTCAGCAGGTATGCGTCTCCGCCACGAAACTTATATATATATATTGCCCGCGTCTTTATTTTATTTTTTTTAATTGATTTCATGTTGACGCGTTTTTAAAAAGGTCTTGCCGCCGATGGTGACAGCGCTGAGGAAACATACATTTTCAAGCAGATGGGCAAGGTTGCCGCACTCAAAAAGCTCGTGAACGAGCAGCAGGTCGACTTTGAAAAGACCTTCATCAGCCACTGTGGCATGGTATGTGTTATGAGTCTGTGGGTTTGGATTTTTCATATGGGGAGGGGGAAAAAGGTGATCATCCCTATTAAAAAAAAAGTAATGTTTTTAGGCACATACCCGTTGGGCTACGCACGGCCAGCCCTCGCAGCTCAACTCCCACCCTCACCGCTCTGATCCCAACAACGAGTTCACCATTGTACATAACGGCATCATCACCAACTATAAGGAAATCAAGACGCTGTTGTCCAAGAAGGGCATCTCGTTCGAGACTGACACCGACACTGAATGTGTTGCCAAGCTCACAAAGTACGTTTACGAGACCACCAAGGACCAGAACCTGACCTTCACTGCTCTTGTCAAGCAGGTTGCCAAGGAACTCGTAAGTTTTCTTTCTTCTGGTTGTTGTGGTTGTTGTTGATGATAAAAAAAAGGGATGCTGATTCGATCGCGCGTCATGTGTGTTTTTTTTTTTTGGGTGATTGCAGGAGGGCAGTTTTGCTTTCATTTTCAAGAGCGTACACTTCCCCAACGAGGTTGTGGCCACGCGTCGTGGTTCTCCTCTTTTGGTCGGTGTCAAGACTGCAAAGAAGTTGAAGGTCGACTTTGTCGATGTCGAGTTCGGCAGTGCTGCTGACAATGGTAAGAAAACACACACACACAACTCTCTCTCTCTCTCTCTCTTTTGATGGGTGGGTGTGAGATGCTTACGTACTTTTGCTTTCTTTTAGTGACCCCTACTCCCGCTGAAGCTTCTTCTACCGGTTTCCTGTCCGCTGAGGATGGTCATCCCCAGTTGCACCGCAGCCAGTCCCGCGCCTTCTTGAGCGAGGACGGCATGCCTCAGCCCATCGAATTCTTCTTGGCATCCGATGCCGCCGCCATCGTCGAGCACACCAAGCGTGTCTTGTACCTGGAAGATGACGACATTGCCCACATTGCCAGCGGTGAGCTCCACATCCACCGTCTCCGCCGTGACGAGGGCGCCTCGACCACCCGTTCCATCCAGACGCTCGAGATCGAGCTTGCCGAGATCATGAAGGGCTCGTTCGACCACTTTATGCAAAAGGAGATCTACGAACAGCCCGAGTCGGTCGTCAACACCATGCGTGGCCGTGTCAACTTTGAGAAGCACCAGGTCACCCTGGGCGGTCTGCGTGGCTACCTCCAGATCATGCGTCGTGCCCGTCGTATCGTGTTCATTGCCTGCGGTACCTCCTATCACAGCTGCTTGGCCACCCGTGGCATCTTTGAAGAACTGACCGAAATCCCGGCCCAGATCGAGCTTGCCTCGGACTTCTTGGACAGACGCACCCCCATCTTCCGTGATGACGTCTGCGTCTTTGTCTCCCAATCCGGCGAGACGGCCGACACCATCCTTGCCATGCGCTACTGCTTGGAGCGCGGCGCTTTGTGTGTCGGTATCACCAACACGGTCGGCAGTTCCATCTCGCGTGAGTCTCACTGCGGTGTCCACATCAACGCCGGCCCTGAAATCGGTGTCGCCAGCACCAAGGCCTACACCTCCCAGTACATTGCCCTGGTCATGATGGCCCTCCAGCTCTCTGAGGACCGTCTCTCGATGACCGAACGCCGCAATGCAATCATTGACGGCCTCTACCGCCTCCCGCAGCAGATCAAGCAGGTCTTGAACCAAGACAGCAACTTGCAGCAGCTCGCCTCGGTGACGCTCTCCAAGGAGAAGTCTTTGCTCTTGATGGGCCGTGGCTACCAGAACGCCACCTGCTTGGAAGGCGCCTTGAAGATCAAGGAAATTTCATACATGCACAGTGAGGGTATCCTGGCGGGTGAACTCAAGCACGGTCCTCTTGCCCTTGTCGACGAGAACATGCCTGTCATCCTCATCATGACCAAGGACTCGCTTTACCCCAAGGTCCAGAGCGCGTTGCAGCAGGTCACTGCCCGCAAGGGTCAGCCAATCATTGTGTGCAACGACGACGATGAGGATCTGCTAAAGAACTACAAGACCATCTCCGTGCCGCAAAACGTCGACTGTCTCCAGGGTCTCGTCAACATCGTTCCTCTCCAGTTGCTCTCCTATCACCTTGCCGTGATCCAGGGCGTCGATGTCGACTTTCCCAGAAACCTTGCAAAGTCGGTTACCGTCGAGTAAATATATCTTGTATAGAACTTCTCTCTCTTCAACACCCCATCCCCTCCGCCCTTTTCCATCTTCTGTTTGCTTCGCTTTTCAACCTCCACATATTCGCACGTTGCCACAACTATCCACAACACAACGATCTCCCATCTTCAGCATCCCCCTCTTGTTTCATAAAAAGACATATCACACACATATTCTCTCTCTCTCTCTCTCTACGCCACGATACACACAACCCAACCTTTCGGATGATTCCAATGTTCACATCGCTTCTAAAAGAATAAAGAAAAAAGAGTCCTTTGTTTTTGTTTACCAAAATCAGCGTGTATGTGTTACCTAAGAACAGCCATGGTAATAGGTTTGGATGGTGTCTCCCAAGTAAAAATGCGATTATTGCAAGAGTCAACCGTGTCATATCACGCAGCTGTTGAATGACAGGCGTGTGAGTGTGATGGTGGGGGTGGGACACATGGTCGAGGCAACGGCGCCTGTATAGTTGGGCTTTGTGGGGGAGGGGTGGAATAGGCGAAAAACCTTAAAAGGGTGCGTGGGGCAGTCAAAGCGCAGCTTCCTTCGCATCGTTTTGCTTCGTAGTGGACGCTGGAGCTACCAACCGCACTTGCGCACACACACACACACACACACACACTGACTCACTTTCTCGTTGCCAATAAACCCGAACGCTACATACCAGCTTCTCTTGCCTCTCTTTCTTTCTAACCCTTCCTCCTCTTTCTCTACCCTGCTGCTCTATCTACCACTACTCCCTTGACCTCTCGTTGCTGCTGCCATTTCATCTATTTAAAGGGCTGTTACAACTCTAAGCAATCAAAAAAAAAGAACGGTGTTACGATTATTATGCAATACACACGATGAGCTTCCCCGGCAATCCACCCGCATCTTCCAGCAATCCTATGCAGGCGGGACCTCGCTCTTATCAATCGTCACCCGTCGCTCCTACTGGTCCTTCAGCATCCACTTCATTCAACACTCGCCACAAGTTGGAACATATTGTTCAAGTAACTAAAAACATATGCAACAATTGTCACAGGGGCGGCAGTGGGTGGTTGTGATTCAACACCATCAGAGCAACCATGGAGGGCTACATGTTTTACCCACTTTTTCTCTTTGCTAATCGCAAAACTCATTGTAGAACTTTTACACAAAGACGGCCCAGGTGGTAGTTCAGGCACGCTTAGATCCAGAACAACAAGGCAGCACGAATCGTCGCAGTAGCAGTAGTAGTAGCACTCTAGCAAGCAACAGCAGCAAAACGAACAAGCCAAACAAATGGGTAAGACCTAAACCTTGTGCTATACGAAAAAGCAATACTATCCATGATTCACTGTCGAATAATGCCTGCGTGTCTAATCTATGCGTCGTGATGATGATGATGATGATGATGACGATATATGCAGTTTAACATAGCAACACAAGACATTGACTTTTTGCGAGAAGAATTGAAATTTTGGCGTGCATTATCGATACAATCAGAAGCAGGAGAGCCGCCACCACTCATACTGGACGTTGTTCTGGATGTGTCGCAATTGACACAGAGTCAGATTTTGGTGTTGGCAGATGATCCGTCACGACTCAACAAGGTCGACATAAACGGTGTGGAAACCATCTTACTCGAACGATGGGTATTGTCTCTCAAGTATGCGGTCCATTTTTTCTCTTTGTTTTTTCCATTCCTGATAGGCATGGCCCTCCTTAACAGCCCATGATTATTGCGTATAGCCATCCATTACCGGATTTCTCAGTGGATCTACCGAATCTGTACAAACGAAGCATTGCATTCTTCCGGGCCCTGTATTCATTCGTCAGATTACTGCCCTGTTACAGTCTGCATGGAAGACTTTGCAATTACGGCCAACTGAATGGCTTGGCACTAAACTATCGGTTGACTTCGACGCCTACATATCGCAATGATGAGATCCCGCTAGGTATGTTGCGAATAGCTTTAAGGAGTGTGTAAGAGTTTTGATCCATGCATTCAACAACGAACAACAACCGCGATAGATCAACCCATGCTGCGTGGCGGTGCCACCGATGAATACGAGTTTTCAAATGTTGTGACACCGTTGGGGTAAGTTGCTGCAATACTGCTAGAAAGAGAGAGAGAGAGAGAGAGCGATGGTGCCTTTTAAGTGGTTGGATATACATGCTGAAAGATGGCCATTGTTCGAGATAGGACCTTTAAACTCCATGTCGAGTACCGCAAGAATTGCGATTTTCGACTAGAAGACTCAGAACGCGATTTGAGTGCACGCATGATTGACATGGATGAACACTTTTTTACACCCACCATGGTGCAACACCGACAAGAACAACACCCACGCGCAATATATCCGCACGATGAAGTAATAATCGACATACTTTTGTTTTATCTTTTGTTGCCAAGCTAGAAATTATAACAACTGTGTTTTTTTCCCTTTAGGAAGCAACGGCATCCCGTCATGCACACCGCAATTCTCCGCCTTATGCAAATGCTCGACAAAGCAGCACCGACTCGTCCGATCCACGCGAAATCATTCAACAGCAACAGCGAAAATCGAGTATGGGTTTTCGCGGAGGATCACCCACATCTGTATCACCATTGAATCGTGAGACGGGCTCTAGTTTGCGTGCCAGTCCAGTCAAATCCTCCACTACTGCTGTTGTCGGTACTCCGCCGACGAGCACGAAAAGAAGAACATCGGCACCACACATGTCTCCGTTTAAATCGCCCTCGCTTTCTTCTTCGCCACAAGCTGAGGCTTTATGTACGTGATAAAAAAAATTACAATTCGTATATCCCCCCTAATATCTTTCTCTTTTTTTTTTACCAATTCAGTATCGTCAGGTGTCCGACCACAAGCTTCTCCAAGTGAAAGAACACGAGCACTTAATGTTGAAAGCTCCTCATCGACGAGTAGAAACAAGGTAGAATTTTCGCCAAGTTTTGACAAGATACAAAGTAGCCCTGGTCGAACAGAGACAAGTATGATGACTAGACGATGGTCTCGTGCTAGCGACCATAGCTCGATCAATAATTTCAGTGTATGTCTTTTTCTATAAAATTAATAGAGTAATGAAATAGACCAGCACTTTGGCTTATCCTAGATATTAACTCGCTACATTTTTATTTTCTGTAATGAATCCAACTTGACAGACCGATGATCCCGAACTTGAAGAATTCATACGAGCAGCAGCCGCCAAGCCTGATCTTAAACTGGCTCAGAGTCGAGCCAGCAACAGCAGTCAGATGATGGAAAGTGCAAACTTGTCGCCTACTTCAGAAACCAGCAGCAGTTTAGGTGCTAGTGGATATGGTAGCGGATCCATTTATCGGTCCAAGGTAGTACCTGTGTAACGTGGAAAAGATTGACATTTCTGTAAAACCGTAACTTTTTGAATTCTAATTTCGCTTTTATAGAAAGCACTCTCTCATTATAAGAATTTGCGAGATACCCATAATACATTGTCTGAATCACTGTCATCTAGCGTGCTCACAAGTGGCGAACGGCAAGAGTCATCACCTGCTGTTGGCACGTCGTTAGGATCATCATCTACATCTTCGAATAGTCGACCCTATCTACCGGCAGTTCGCTCACCATTGCATTCAGAGGGAAGCGCGAGCAACAGCAACAATCCATCAACATCACCGATGCATATTCCACGTAGCCATCATCGCCATAGCCTCGGTAATACTAGCGACACCGGCAATAATACCACTACCACCACTACAAGCACTACCTCTACTACTGCAGCTGTAGCAGCTGTTGGATCTCATACAGCTACAACCACTGCTACTACTGCCATTTCAACTGCTCGACAGCATCGACGATATCACTCCTCACAAAACGCCAAATACAACAAAGAAGCTGGCGACGGACATGACTGCGTTAATGATGTAAATGCAGACGGGGCCTTTTCCAGCTATCCACAAGATCGTCATCACGATGAACTGCGCCGACTCTGTGTTCTCGAAAGCGATTCCTCCTCATCCATGATCCGCAGACAAGAAAGCCTGAGCAGTTTACAAGATGACTCCCATGCAGGTCTTCAGAGCTCTGGCAGTGTCATGCACAATCAAGGCGGACGGGCGAGCTCCCTTGACGATGACGATTCACTTGTATTCAAAATGAGCGAACTTGAAGCCCACCATCCTGCAGATGAATCCAATGACAATATTGTACTGCATGGTACCCGTGATTATGCACGTCGGCTTGGTATCAATAGTCCTAGTAGCAGAACAGCGGCAACAACGACGGCATCATCATCCCCATCATCGCCAATAACTACGACAACAATGATGGCAGCTTCGTCGCCGATAACAACGACAGCAGCAGTCGGGGTTGATCCAAACGCAATCACGCCTGTACGCCGTATCAGTAGCAGCACAAGTATACCCCAGACTACGGTCGCTATGGCCACGGTTGTGGAAGAGGAGGAAAGAAGTGCAAGTGCAAGCAATAGTAGTAGTAAAAGTGATCCCCATTCTAAATATCCTCGTGACTTTTGGTGAAAGTTTCCCTTTCTTATTCTCTTGTAATGAGCACCTTTACGTAAATCTTTATCATGCACACACAAATTCACTCACACACTCGCACTTTTACACTTAACGCAGCATAAATCACAGACAAATTTCCATGCGCACACCACCATCCCCACTCGCCCCCATCCGTTTTTTTTTGTTTTGCATTTCCTTTTTTTTTTGTTTTTCTTTTTGTACTTTTAATATCAGTTATTTATGTGTGAAAACATTCCATGTACAGTGTCTGTCTTTGCAAGAGAATTATCACAGTTCATGTTGTCTTCCATTCTTCTTAATTGTAATCGTCGTCAAAAAGTTTGGGATAAATCAATGAGATAATCATGATATCGAGCGCTCACTCGCTAAAATTGCCATGGAGCTACTAGATAACATTTTTCAATTGAGCAGCCCATTTGTATGACTACGTCAATCAATCTGTTGCTATGGGTTGAAATAAAATGCTACTTCTGGTGGAAAGCGTATACAATGCAAAATTTTAGGTATGTGTAACCAGGCAGTTTGAGTTTAAAAAAAATCTTTTTTATCTTTTTTTTTTCCAAAGCATTTTTTTTTTTTTTTTGCGTACTTGTGGCTAGTAACACCGAGTTTTCAAATATTGACATGGGAAAACAGTCAATGAATAAACGCGGCAAACGTCGCTCCAAATCGATCGGATCGCGAGCCAATGCTGGTCTTCAAGAAGGCATGAATGACCAAACACCTCAACCAGAACAAGTTTTACCTGTCATTCAAAAGGTAACAAAATCAATAAAAAGAAGTTTTTAGTTTGATCGAGATATTATTTCTCGGTAAAATTTTGACTCGTAATGAATAAGAGAGAGAAAGTTGACAAGAAAATGTAATATAATCGTTATGACTAGCTATCTGCACCCGATGCCACTGAACGCGCTTGGGCTGCAGCATGTGTTTCCAACTTGGTTATGGCGGGCACTTCTGTTCGCAAGCTCTTATTGTCAAAGGGCACCATACCCCTTTTATTGGAACGTTTGTCCGACGATCAATATGAAGTGTTGGAAGAATCAATGGGTGCTTTGAGGTTAGTTTTGTGGTTTTATCGGAACGACTTTTTTTGTATTTGTGGTTTTACAGGATAAAAAGGGTATTAAAACAAAAAGAAATCTCTGTTCATAGAAATCTTGTCTCGGTCGATCCAGAAGTTGCAAAGGAATATTTCAAGCGCGATATCCTCAATCCGCTGTCTGTACTTTTACCCAAGGTTAGTTTTATCATGATTGATATATATTTATGCTAGGCTTTCTCTGAAAGATAGCTGACAAGTTGTAATCCTATGTTGTAGATTTCACACACGATCGATCTTGTATTGCAAAATGCACCTCTCGCAGATGAGGCTGATCAGGACAGACGCCGTACAATTTGGGATCTTGCCGAAAACTTTATCTATGTTGTTTGGAGTATATGGTAAATATATGTTTGGGTACCTGGTGGTAGTTTGTTGCATCCAATCATTTTGCGTGGGCTCAATTGCTGAACTTTATAGTGAGGCATCGGACAAGTATATCAAAGCTGTGAACCAACTCAACATCATCACATTTCTGATCTCGTTCTTATCCTCCGCTGACCAATGCCCTACTCATGTTGTTGTTGCTGCTGGTACGTGTGATGATTAAATATGCTTGCATATTTGATAAGAAACACACGTTGATGGTCCTACTAAACTACGCCTTTGTCTTTTGTTTCCCGATTATAATAGGTCAATGCTTAACTACCCTGACTGATAACAACAAGGACATCTATATTGAATTCCAAAATCACCCCGAGTATGTCAAGATGCTCTTTGATATCCTTCAAAAGTTCCAAGATCCCTCCATGAATTTAGTGCGCGTGCTTGCTTGTGGTAATTCTCTTCTTTTTCTTTTAAAAATGGTTGGAATATATGGAGAAAGAACGAGATGTAATCGTTGATGGGCATTTAAGGGAATACATATCAACTGATGCTAAACTCCTACAACTTGAATGTAGCAATTTTGACAAATATCCGCGAAGTCGTATTGACGCAAGAAACATGGGATGATAGTCAGGATGGTTCTAGCGAACTGAACAAGACTCTTTTACCGATTCTGTCTTCTTCTTTGAACTTTGATATTCAAGAGGCCGCTGAAAAGACAATTTCGGCTATGAAAAGTGGCGTGAGTGTTTTTAACGCAATAGTTTAAATTTACCAGGTAGAAAGAACTGCTTTAACTCACAAGGAGTTTTGATACTTTGATAGAACGTGACTAAGCATGAAGATAGCGGTGATATTGCACCCAGACCCAAGCACGCGACGACTAAAGAGGAGGTATGGATTTTCGATCAACAAAACTGAGTGGGAACGCGTGTGTGTGTGAATTAGAATGTTGACACTGTGCATAGACGTATATTGAAAATTTGGAACACCGTTTGTCCACGCTACAATTGGCACTTGAATTGCTCGCCAACATTTGTGCCCAAGACGATGCCGAAGGTTAGTTTTTATATAATGAGATAGGGTAAAGAGGTGCAAAGTTTACGCATGTGTGGGTTGCTAACTCTAACATACCATAGAGGATGGATGGGAAGATGCCGATGAAAACATGGCAGATGACGACGAAGAACCAGAAGAAGTGACCGAGGAAAACGTGGAGGACTTATTGAAGGACGGCGAAAACCTGGATCAGAAGACCTCTACTGCTGTTGATGACCAATTGATTCGTACCAACCCTATTCTCCGCTCCTTCATCACTGATATTTCCCCTCAATTGATTCAGTTAGCATCACTTACTCCACTGTCATTCCCATCGGAACCTATTGCCCCTGCTATTACAGATGCTCTGGTGTTGACCCATCAGCGTGCGTTGGAGTGCTTCAACAACTTTTTGCTTGCAATGGCTGAACTACCCTCCAAGTTTTGGTTCAAGGAGCACAAATCCGATGCTTGCCAAGCTTGGCGCTGGCTGTTCAATTTGGCAAACACAGTTGGCTCGGCCCAATCGAGTCAGGCACGTGACGAATTGATAGAGATCATTGTTGGCTGTCTGTGGTCCCTTGGTCGTGGCCTCGGTCAAGATATTGTAAGTATAATTTTCCTTACTACAAGTCATATGTGTGTTAACTCTACATGAATTGGTTTAACTGATCTTAATCGTTTTTCGATTTTTATCTAGCCTTTGGAAACCGCAGATGTTACTTCCTTGTTTGGAGCTTACCATGCCACTACTTCAGAGTCAATGCGCGTGAAAATTATTGGTTGTTTGGGCCCGATTGCTATGCGACAAGGAGCAGTTGAAGCCAACAAGGTAATTACTAAATGATGAATATGTATACCTTAGAATTGCACTAACTCAACAATGATATCACCTATTATTTGAATTATAGGAAATTGGAAGCTTCTTCATGGAAGTTTTAAGAAATGTCACCTCTCGTCAAACAGCACCAGCTGTTGCGGTGGAAGCATTGAATTGCATCTTCGACGTCTACAGTGATTGCGCTTTTGATTATGATATGCCTGTTTTTGTCCAAGGCAACTTTTTATTACAACTCAAGGTCCTTGTACCAACTATTCGCACTATGGTAAGTTCTTGAATCGCTTGAATAGCAATGAATAGAAAAAAAACATAAATCGTATGTTTAACTTTCTTTTCCATAGACCAAAAACATCGACCGAAGAAAGAACTTTGATCTGCGATCAAGAAGCGATGAAGCACTCATGAATCTCGTCGCTTTTAATAAATATAAAGCCAACGAAAAGCGTCAATAAGTAGCTTAAAATGTAGAATATCATACACACTCTCTTTCGCCCCTTCCGTCTCATTCTTCCTTTAATTTCTTCCCCTCTTGTTTTGCATACATCAACAATAACTAGTACAGAGCATTATCATCAAATTTCCTGAACGTTTCATTGCAAAGAAAACATGAAACCCGCCTCATTGTTTAACCCACTGCTTGTCGGGATTTACGGAGCAAGTCGGGAACCATAACTCCTAGTCGGGTTCTGACAGGTTTTTGATCCCACTTTGCAAGTGGTTGGTAATTGTCCGTGAGAACTTCCCGATTCCGTTCGTTTCGACGGGATTGTGGCTGTGAGTAGGTAGTTTGGGTAAATGGGAAGAATCATGTGCGGCGCACAACGGGATGGGCTGTGACTAAGCAGGCCCTTTGGTCCCTACGAGTGTTCTTAATTAGGATACTGAGAGAAATCTCAAAATAACACATTTATTGTCTACCCCAAGAGATTGTTCTTGAATTGCCCACGCACATGTAGCATACCGATAACTCATTCTTTTCTCTCTATGAATCACTTACGTAATTGGCTAATAACTGAACATTTCACAACAGCAGGCTTGGGTGAGAAAACGGACCCTTGGGTCCCTACTTTTCAGTGCAAACTTGCTTATTCAGTAAAAGTACCCCATCAACCAAACTTCCCATCTCATCTTCTCTCATATACCAACACGTTATTGTCTCTGTTTGTGTGTGCGTCATATCAGTCGTGGGAATAAGCAATCGCCAACATTCTCTCTTTGGTAGCCGCCTTCCCTTCCTTTCCCTCTCAACATGTGTCTCTGCCTTCACTCATCAGCATACCGCTCCCACCCATCTATCTTTTTAATATCCTTGACCTTTATATACACCGCCAACCAATGCTTAGGCACATGGGGGAAGGCGGGGAACGCATGTGATCACGACCCAGCAATTCCGAAAGATGCGGGGTAACAGTCCGCGCAAGAAGCTCCTCTATCATATATAGATTCTAGGTATACCCAAAAGTTTTGACCTGATTGGATTACATCTGTGTTCCACTGTTTTAACAACAAATATGGTAGTGGAGCACCACTCCTCTCTTTTATTTTTGCTGCTCTTTCTTCCTTCCTCTCAAACTTACTTATTGGCATTTCTTTTCTACTCTTCTTTACTTTACATCATCCATGATACCACCACCAAACAGCAGTAGCAATCCTACCAGCAATAGTAATACTACTAGTGGCTTTAGTTGGGGTACTGCTGCTGCCACTAGAAGACTGCCGGCAGTCTTGATACCTCCAGCTATGACAACTGAAACAACCTCGTCACTTGAAGAAATCATTCGCCAGTACAATCAGAAACCAGAGCTAATGGAACTGATACTGATGAGCAAGGTTCAAGAAGATCGACGACGTGCAGAAGAAGCAAAGCTGCGCAGTAAAGAGATCGACTATATTCTCCAGCGAGAACAACAACGACCGTCATCATCATCATCAGCATCATCATCATCACCTCATTCGCCCGACATGCATCATAATCATCATCATAGTCATCACCATCATAATCATGAATCAAATCATCAACAGCATCGTCATTCTCTTCCATCTTTACCAGCAATCCTGGACCTTGACAAAACAGTTTCCGCACCATATCACTCACCGTCACTCACCAGCTCTTCGTTTGGCTCGCCGCGGTCAATCCCTGAACAAGCGCCGGTCGCTGCCACTTTAGCTTCACCGCAACACCCTTCGCGCGATGAGCTTTTACACCCGACAACGCTGCTTCATCCTACTACTGCTAATAATGATCGCTTATTACCAACAATCATAGCAGTAGATAGTTCGCCAGAACGGCCAACATCGCCAGTCGTTTCGGCAAGCCAAGAAATCCGCCAACTTATCGCTTCACGAAAGAGGTAAACGTCACCTGTTCGACACACACTCACTCTATGATCCTTGTCCTCTTGACCATATACGCTATTTACTAGTAGTGAGGTGACCCAAAAAAGAGAAAAACAATTGTTGCTGACATGTGAAACTGTTATGGCTAGGTTATCAAGTAGTGGAGCACCCACAAGCGAACCGTACCCGTATGGCAGCAACAACAACAACAACAGTAATAATAGTACTAGCTTTTCAACAGCACCAGTAATACTCGATAACTACCGTCAGAGCGACAAACGACAAAGTTTTCACGAGGACGAGCAAAGCCATAATAACGACGCACAACAGCAACAGCAACAGCAACCCGATAACAACAAAGCTCATATTTACCATTACTATTACGGACCGACAACACCACCAAACAAGCTTCCTTTACCTCCAGTGTCACAGCCTGTCATGACAACCACAGCCTCGCTGTCTTCAAGACCGGGATCAAATATTACAACACACAGCCGACCTTTCGCAAAACGGAGGCGACGCGAGATGCAAGCCATTACCATGATCATTGAAACCCGCGAGTTTCCTTACAACGACGATTATCTCTGGAAGAACAACGGCAACACGATCCATAAAGGTTCAGGCAACAAAAGCATATACTACAAGTGTGCCAATAATCAAAAGGTAACAGAGAACTCGGTTTTTCTTAGATGTGAAAACTTTCTTTTTTAATCGATTTTCATTTGGTTGACCCATTCTATGTCCACCTTTCCTTCTATGAAACAGGGTTGTCCTGTCAACAAAACAGTGACATTCAAAGATAATGGCGAATACTTGATCAAATACAGAGGAAAGCACCTCAACGATTGTAGTCGAATAAAACGAGTTGTTGATGTTTGAAGAACGGAGAACTTCATACAAACATACATGCACTCACGTTTTGTGTGTTTTGAGTCCGTATGTGCACTGTGTGTGTGAATACATGTGTCTTCTTCCTTTGAGTTCCAACAAGATGCTCACTTGGTGCTCCTTCACACCTCCTTGGCTGCGCTCCATTTCGCCGCCAACATCCGCGTTTTTTCTGTCTTTTTAGTGAAATATGTGCTCGATTTATGATGGATGACTCAATTTGTGCGCCTTCTGTATCAACAACATACACAAAATTCCTGATTTAGCCATACGGGGAACCTCGCGATGAGCCGACATTATGGGCGACTAAGTTTTGTGTGGGTCTTTCTTATGATGGTTTCTTCTCACGGATATCGTTTTTGTTTAGGTATGATTATTCTTTCTAGTGGTATACACTTTCTTTTCCTCTCAGTGAGGCTTTAATTCCTTGGAAGCAAGCACATGCTTGGGCCAAAACAGGAGTAGCATCGCCCAATTACAAACATGTAAGCGCCAATTACCTATTGAGGCAGCACACAATTATCGTCATTGCTATAATTATTTACACATTGTTAGTGTTGGTGATAGATGATTTGTTCTTTCACGGATGATTCATGAGGCGACGTGAAAAAATGCTCTATTTTTATACAGAGCTAGATCTTATCAATATGTCTTGCGTGTACTTGTGGTACTAAACACCTACTGTATTCCGTGGATGTGTGGGGCAGTGGTACACACAGATATACAAATCATCATACTGTGCATGAACTCTTTTCTAAAGTATTAGGTTACATTATCTTCAGCTGTAGAGAATCAATAGCAGTATTAGTAGCACTAATAGTATAGCATTATCAAACTTTTGTTTGGAATCACTGATACGAAGATGGATGAACGGATAAGGCTACATATGCTACTGCCAATAGAAGCGAAACAGTACTCAGCGGTGGAATAAAGAAACTTTATTAGTCACTGATGTTGGTTGAAAATAAATTTTTGTTTCCGCACTTCTGTCATGCTATAATATACATCAACATCCACCTGCCTCGCTTCGCTCGGCTGAATGAGCCCCTGCGCTGCGCTCCGGGTCATTCAACGGTCTGGATGTTTCGTGGGGGGTTCCCCCACGCCCCCAATGTGGGGGGTTCCCCCCCACGCCCCCCTTCTAAACCCTAAACCCTGCTCGCTTCGCGAGCTTACTCGCCTACCTAAACACTAAACTCGTTCGCTGCGCTCACTGACTATCGCTATTACTACACTAAACCCTTACCCTACTAAATTTAAAGGTACTCGGCTTAAAACATATGCTTACATGGCGATTGATGAAAAGACAATAGAGATAGAATTGTAAGAAAAAAGAAAGGATCTAAAATGATACGTATACAAAGAGGAAGTAAAAAAGAGAAGAGAAGAGTAGGAGAGAAACAGGTGTTCAAGACGTAGTAGTAGTAGTAGTAGCGGTGTGTGTTTGAGATGGCAATTGCTGTGGTGGGTGCAAAAGCACTTCATGGTAAACGATGTTTGTCGTAGCAGGGACATCTGAAAAAGGTAATTCTGTCATATCGACAGCTACGCGGAGGTTGTTTGGGTTTGTTGCCCGTGAAAGAGCAACATATAATTGACCGTGAGCAAACACAGGCTCCTGCAAACGAATGCCGACATGCGTTAAAGTTTGTCCCTGTGCCTTGTGGATGGTCATGGCGAATGCGGGACGAACAGGAAATTGGCGTCGACAAAGGATGAAAGGATATTCACCCTCTGTGGTGCACATGTTGATTCGAGGCAGATAGTGCTCCTCATCGTCATGGCCTCGGTCAATTCTTTTAACGACTATGCAGTTGTCCAAAAGAGCAGTGACGAAAACTTTGGTACCATTGCACAGACCTTCATCTGGGTTGAGATTTCTCAGAAGCACCAATGGCATACCAATCTTTAGCTCCAAAGCGTGAGACGGAATACCACCGGCACTTAAAGAGCGAAGATACTCGGGGGGATAGCTTGCCGCCGCAACGTCTGGATCGTCTGCGTCCAGAATACGGTCAGTGGAGAGATACTGTCTGCTTTGGCCAGGAAAAAGTTCAAACGCCGATTGGTTGATCTCGTCAACGTCAACATTTTTAGCAGCTAAAATAGCACGATTGCTATAGTGGTGTGGTTGTGGATCTGGCTGGCGGATTGTTGGGTAAATGGTATCGATTAGAGAAACTGTATCTCTTGAATCGATTAGCCATTCTTGAGGTATTTCGACGCTGTCTCTGTATGGAGGTCGTCCATCACCCACAGCAAGAAGTGTTTCAGAAAAGGCAGCAGCAGCAGGTCCTGCATTACGGACACGCATGTTGACTGTAAGATGCAACACCCGGACATGCTGCCAAAAAGACGCAGATTTGATACACTCTCCAGTGATTTCAGACCGTGTACCTTTCTTGACAACAGGCAGTAGCTGGCGAAAGTCCCCGCCAAAAACAACGACCTTTCCACCAAAAGGAACGCGCTCATACACAGGATTGACAGCACCCATGATATCACGTAATGCCTTGTCGACAGCCTGAAAGTTGTACTTGCTGCACATTACTGCTTCATCCCATATAATCAGTGACGCTTGCTGTATAAGATGCGCGTGTGGACCACCAAGACGAAGATTGCAAGTTGTAGCGTCGTCAGCGTTGATCGGTATCTTAAAGCGGCTGTGAGCCGTTCGACCACCGGGAAGCAAAATTGCAGCAATGCCAGAGGATGCAACAGGCAGCGCAATTTGCTCTCGCGAACGAACACGACTCAATAGCGCCTTGAAAAGCTGAGACTTTCCGGTACCTCCAGGGCCATTGACAAAGAAAAGGTGTGACTGGTCGAGGTCACCTGGTTCGTTGATTGCTTGCATGACTGCGTCGAATGCGTGTCTTTGGTCGTCGTTGAGTGACTGGGATAGCTCATCGTAGATTCGTGTTTGTTCTTCTGTGACATACTCTCCACGCTCGACTGCTTCTAAAGCAGTAAGCTGCGGAAGAGCATCGAGCTCAGTCACGAAATCTTGCGGCAAAGAAGGGAACTCGGTTAAGTGATGACCTGTAGATTGGAGCCTCATCTCAACGTCACCAAGAGTACGCTGGAATACTTCGTTCCATTGCCCAGGCACCAACTCGGTCTCATTGTTCGGAAGCTGAAAGTGTACTTGAAAAAAATAATCATCGCTCATTCTTTCGCGATGATTATCCCAGAGTCTGCGAGGATTGGAAGGTGAGCAGTTTGTAAGGATATACACAAAAAGCTCTCGAAGTGATGCAGCTGAAGGAGAATGGATAGCCGCCTCAGTCATGCAGCGATCCCACTCCTCATCAGACTCGAGCAAACCACGCGCGAGAGCAGCAGCTTCAAAGGATGGATGCACCACATCACCTAACGTTCTTAAAGACTCAAAACTGGTAGGACCACGAACAGTGAGCAGCAGCAATCGAAGTGAGTACAGCGCCATATTGGACGGTGATGCAAAGTAAATGCGAGAAACAATGTTTTGAAATGGTGGGCGGGTGCGGCGGATCCATGTCTTATTTCCTTTATCCCAAGTATAGTGGCAAGGAATCTCAGTGTAAAGATATTGTCGAGCCTGTTCATCGCGGGAGCAAAGGTCAAAAAGAGCGGTAAGTTTTGTTCTTGATGCGTTGTTACGTGCGGCTGCAAGACCGACACGCGAATCGTTTGCATGGAAAGTGACAGATTGCTGGTCAGGAAGATGCAATTCTAACCGGGAGACGTAGGGATGATGCATATGTACTTGATATTCGAAGGTACGCCAAATTGCCTCGCATGGGCCGATATACCGTGCATTCTGGTATTGTGTCACCTCGTCTACTGGCTCGCGCTCAGCATTTCCATCCGTAGCAGCACCGGCTCCAACAACAGCAGTAGTAGATCGCACTGCTTCTGGCTGCCCAGCTCTAACAGTCTCCAATTGCGCTCTGTCTGATCCTTTTGTGATGTACTTGCACAAATACTTGATAGCGCGTGCAGAGGTACAGATCTCAACGTTGATGTGAGCATTGTACTTTTGGCATAGGTACGGGTTATAAGGAACAACATGGGAATTGTCAGCAACAAAGTTGGATCGGTGGAAGTGGTGGCGACGATGAAGGTTTTCACATCTGCGATAGATCGGATAACCATCTCTGCTCACACGCGTTTCAATAACAAATGACTTAGGATATCCTTGAGAGCAACGTCCGTCTTTCATGCAAACAGCATCAGGTTTAGAATTTCCACATGGGCCATGTATCATTGACCTTGTCACTGTGGCGTAAAGTTGAGGCTGTGTGACAGGATCTGGCAACTCAGCACAGACAAAACGGTCGTAATCAGAAGGATTGCGAGGACGGTCTTCATGGTGCAAGATAAGTAGGATGTGGACATGTGGTAAGCCACGTTTCTGAAATTCAACAGTTGCCACATAACCTTCGACGCGACCAAAGCAACTGGACTCTTTGATATGAGATAGCATCTCAGTGATCTTCATATGGAACACCCTGGAACATATGTCAGGGCGATCAAACGCCTGCTGACCTGGAAGAAGTTCAGCTTGGATTTCCGGCCATTGTGGATTGCAGGTAAAAGTGATGAAGAGTGTGGGATTGCCTCTTTGACGAATGATTGCCAATCCATCCTGGAGCATCTGCTTCATGTACCGTGGACCCCCTGTGAAAGAAGATGGCAAAATAATTGACCGACCAATCTGACGTGGATCTACATCATCACCAATACCGTTGTACACCTCAGAACGTAAATCACTTTGATTGTTGATAATATACTGAAGGCGCGAATACTCGATGCGTGCATAGTTGTCAACAACTAATTGTTGGAAAAGACGACGATAGTGGTGCTGGTAGCTCGTGCGGTCCCCGTCACGGACCATGAGCATATAGGAGCAGAACTCGAGCAACGTAACAGTATTAGTCTGACGGTCGGCACTTCCGCACTGCATTCCAGCAAACCAACCGTCATCACCAAACGGAAATATAAGCACGTAGTGGAGGGGCATATACGATGCATGGAGGGAACTGACAGTTCGAAGACCCAACTGACGATCGCGGATGATAATGTCATGCGGTGATGATGCACCATCCACTGTGTCTTCGACGATCATTGCAGCGACTTCGGGATAACTTTGCTGATCGTAGCGTCTGCCCATCTCACGCGCAGAACGAATGACAACTTGGAGTGTTCCGATAGGGGTGTCACGGTACGATTCAGCAGCATTCATAAGGGTCTGCGCGTACGGGTTGCATCTCTCCATAACGCTCTGAAGCACAGCTATCGTCTCACTGTTGAGTCCAGTGAACAACGTCTGTCTT